CAACAGTCTGTCTTACTTTTAGAGATGTGCAGCAACTCTGGCATAGAGGGGTTTCGGATCATGTTGAGGTTAAGGGATGAGGATGATGATGATGATGAGTTATTGTAAAGGTAGTACCAAAAGCTGAAAAACAATGACAGTCAAATAAAAAAACTGGCACCAGCTAGCACATGCTAAATGACAAATTCAAGATAAATTGGCATGATATAGTTGAAATGCATTGTCATCTAAAACATATCCTTTTGTAGAACACATATGACACATAACATGTTAAAAGAAGGGGAAATGTATTGTTTTAGTACCTGATCTGGCATCCCAGAGCAGCCAGGTTGTCAACAAAGTACTCCAAATAGGCCGTAGAGAAAATTGGGCCTTCTTCGCCAGCTACATGCATGACATGTCCTGAATCCAACCGACAAACAATAATAAGAACATCAACAATCATGCTATCTAATTAACATTTGTATCCCACAAAGTAATACAACAAATGACAAACGCCAGTAGTTTAAGAATTACCAGAGGCATGTCCTGTGCTGTGGTCCAGTCCAGGTACTGAGGTGATGTTTGCCATCTGCCGTCTCCAGCGGTAAGAGGCAGGACTGCTGCTGCCGTTCCAACCACAGGAGTGATGCTCAAAGTCACATGACCCTTAACAAGAGAGAAGGAGTAAGATTACACAGCAGGATTTGGAAAAACTTGTCCATGCTTTTATCTTCAGTAGACTCGACTAATGTAATGGTGTCTTTACAGGTCTCACTAAAGAAAGCCGCTGCTCGAGTCCTCACTAACACTAAGAAAGTGGATCACATCACTCCTGTTCTGAAGTCTTTACACTGGCTTCCTGTGTGTCAAAGAATAGATTTCAAAAATACTGCTGCTGGTTTATAAAGCACTGAATGGTTTAGGCCCAAAATACATTTCTGACCTCCTGCTAAATTATGAACCATCCAGATCTCTCAGGTCTTCAGGGACTGGTCAGCTTTCTGTCCCCAGAGTCAGAACTAAACATGGAGAAGCAGCGTTCAGTTATTATGCTCCAAATATCTGGAACAAACTCCCAGAAACCTGCCGGTCCGCTGCAACTCTGACTACTTTTAAATCCAGGCTGAAGACTTTTCTTTTTGCCGCTGCTTTTAATTGATATATTCATATCTCACACTGCACTGTAACTTTTATTCATGTACCTTTGTTATTAATTTTTTATTATCTTTGCTTTCAAATGAGTGTTTTTAAATGCCATTTTATAATATGTTTCTTAATGCTCTTAATGTCTTTCCTTTTTGTAAAGCACTTTGAATTTCATTATGTTGAAAGGTGTTGTATAAATAAACTTGCCTTGCCTACAAATGGAAAGTATCCAAAGGTTTTGTGAAATAATTCAAAAGCATTCTTGTTCCCAGTATTGTGTTTATATTCTGTTTTATTGTATTTATTTTTTGCTTTTTTAGAAGACGAATACATAATAATTGAAATGTTAAACTCCTGCTATTTTTGACGCTATTGATCGCTTAGTGAACTTCACAAGCTTTCTGGCAGTATATATGGTTTAAAAAAACATAAACTCATCATTAACCAAATAGAACATTTGGACAACAAATATATTTTTATGCTGATATCTTTGTACTTTTACTGCAGGTATTACAGGAGTATCTCTACACTGTGATATTACTACCTTTACTTAAGTTAAAGATCTGAGTACTTCTTCGACCACTGGAAAGGTTTAACAAGACTTGAAAGACACAGCGTACCACAAAACCCTTCGTCCGAGCCATCTTCACAGTCCTTTTTAAAGTTACAGACGAGTCCGGCAGGAAGACATTCTCCAGATGTGCAGTTGAACCCCCCGTCAGGACAAGATGATACGACCACCATCAATACTGTAAAGAGAGTTTTATTACGAAGAGATACAAAGAAAATCTTCTCGGGGAGCTTGCAAAACACCTTTGACTTTAAACACAAACTTTACACCTCTTTTTTAACAGCCATGCACAAGATAATGTACACCAACAATGGCAGGGGGGATGTGGAGAAAATAAAATATAATTATATTTTTGACCAAATATCTTGATTTTGAGATTGTGACAATGTAGTGAAATTGACTGTTTTCGATAAATCAAAGTCAATAAAGTGGTTAAACAATATCAAAACTCAGACACATATGCAATACTTCAATATATATATATATATATCTAAGAGGATATCTGGTTTCAAATCACAATATCAAAATATGGCCAAGCCTAAGAATGCCTTTAATATATTATGTCCAGCTATGATGACCCTTACCTGACAGCAGAACACATATTTGCTTCATGTCTGGGGAAACAAACCACATGGCAAGAAAATCCAAAGAAAATGAAAGATCCAGTGTGATCATAACCCCAGCCAACCCTCTGATAAACAGTTTGTGACTGTTTTACTGGAGAGACGCTTTTATACCAACAGTTGAGCTGAGGCTGAGAGTCCTTATCGGTCGACCCTTAAGGCTTAAAGTCCACAGGGTTCTCAGTAAAGTGCGATACATTTCCGTGGCTCGTCTTTATGACCCTCGTTGTACGTCTCATTCATTTACAAAGTTACCGACGGTGATGTTACGTATCGTAGATGTTCCAGAAAAGTGTTTTTGTAGGTAAAAATATGAATGTGGGTTAACTGACATACAGTGAGGGGAGTCAGTTTGGATTTTAATCTAAAAAAATACACACACACACACATGAAAACGTATAGCACTTCATGTAATTTATATTTCTACCTTTACTTAAGTTAAGGAACTGAGTACTTCTTCGACCACTGGAAAAACTCAGCGTACCACAAAACTCTTCTTCTGAGCCATCTTCACAGTCCTTTTTAAAGTTACAGACGAGTCCGGCAGGAAGACATTCTCCAGATGACATTCTTACACTTCATGTCATTTATGAGTTTTCATTAAAATGAAGACGGTTAAGCTCTCATTGTTCGTTACCCTCACATTACTGGGTCATTTTTGTGATAATGACCTGCTTTAATGGATCTTATCTGATTTTCCAACTGGGAGATACAAATATCTGCATGTTCCAGTGTCAGTGTATGAGGTCAACACGTATGAGTAGGAGTGTATGAGGTCCATTATGAGAAGCCGGAGTGTATGAGGTCAACCACTATTCTGCATAACTGAGAGGGAAAGAGCAATTCATTTAAACTGTGTTTATAAGCCATGTAGAAAAGTACTTTAGTAAGCGCAGGCTTCAAAATCTCATTAAAAGGACCTTGATAAAAACACACTGCAGACTTGAAGGCAATGTATTTCAAATGTAATGGCGTTTTTCTTGGTCAATGGTTCACCCTCCACCACATTTTTTTTTTAACTTGAAAACACAAAACCAAACCAACAACATAATCTCCTTGACGGAGGTAAGCAATATTTTATAGACATTTGGTTAAATGTGCAGATGAAGCTTCTTGAAGAAACAGCATATAACCAAGGTTCCTACTTTACTTTCTATCTCATAAACATAATCTTTCTCTTTCCACTTCAAACGAATATGTCTTAACCTTCTATATCGTTTACAATGTCCGATGCACATGTTTTCTTTTTTTTGCCACAAAAAGCCATTGTTAATTACAAATGTGAGTATAATGCAGAATACAATTTGCACTAGTCCTACTTGTAAGCCTTGTAAAAAAAATCACTGCAGTCACAAAGGTTCATATTTCAGCACAGTCCTGAAAAAAGGAGAATAACCAAAGAGGAAGTGAAAATATAAAATGCTATGATATATGTTAAGGCACGTTTGGAGAACAGACCTCAACATCTGAAGGCCTCTGCCACTAAACAGGATATTGTGTTGCTACATTCAGGATGCACATTTTTTCTCTTCATCAGCAAAAGTGCAATATATTGCTCTGATAACTTTACAAGTAATCGTGTGCCTCCTTATAGCTATAATAAAACTTCTAGTATTTAGAAAATACAGTAACATAGTGACTTTAAGCAGTGTTTAAATGCAAGCATACACACTTCAAAAGTCAGCTCATTGTTTGGTATGACAGCTGGAAGGTCAGTAGGGTGTTGCAAGGTAGCATTAAGTTGTTGCTATCATTTAGCTAACCAGTTGTTTATAATTACAAACGTTTTTTAATTTATATTTTAATGACACAGATACACTGGCTTAACCATTGCAACAGTATTATGAAAAAAAGAGTATTGCTGCCCAACATTCATCGTCATCATCGCTATGGTAAATTCAATTTGTGCGATAAATATTGCAAAAGACTGCGATACTATGCTCAGAGATTGTTTGAGGGATACAAATTGTCAGTAGAAAACTGTACTTTTTTATTGGTAACGTTTGTGTTGGATTCATGTTGAATTTGTTCAACAATAACATATTTGGAACTAGTTTGGCTTGTTTATCCGCAGGGCAGACCAGGTACACAGAAAGTGTACATGAGATAAATTCAATCATGCTATCAACAGAGACACTGGATACTTTCGGCTATAATCCTGCAAACGTATCATCTCCTAATATGTTTTTTACTTCATCGTTTACAGATATACATTTCATCCCCATTTTTACATTAAAATGCAAGGAAAGTGACACAGAGGGACAGGTCCTAAATGGCAGAAACCATGGAGGTGCAATAAAGTCTTTGATGGTGGAAGCTGCACCAGACCACAGACCCCCGACATTGATGAGTCATGTTTAGCATAAATCTCTTACACATCATTTTCTTCCACGACAGGAAGTAAATGGGGCCACATTTTGAGATTTCTGGAGTTTGAGATCCGTGCAAGTGTGTGTGTGTGTGTGTGTGTGTGTGTGTGTGTGTGTGTGTGTGTGTGTGTGTGTGTGTGTGTGTGTGTACATGTGTGTACGTGTGTTTGTGTGTTTTCTGAATGTTGCCCCTACTTCCCTCCCAACCCCCCTTTTTTACCAGTAGCAAAATGTTGAAATGTGCAGAAGCAGGAAAAAAAGCTGACAGTGACAGTAGTATTAAGATTCCCTCCCTTTCATGTACATGCTCATAAGTCCTCTGCTTGCAATGCGTGGACAATGTCTGCGGCTCTGAGACTTATCAGGAGAATGACGACCCGGAGGATAACGCTAGCAGCCTTTTTGCTTTTCATCACAACATCTCAATGTTCAATGAGAAATGGTAAAGTAAGCACTCAACTTCTTTTATGTCACATATTCTGTATGTAAGGACTTACTTATTCTTTCTTTATATACATTGTTGACATCTGTGAGCTGTCAACGTGTGTCTTTGTACAGATGTAAAGATTAGCAACCTTCATACGTTTGTTTTACTGAAAATTAGTTTAATTTAATCATTAATTAAAACATTACATTACATGTTAGACGCTTTTATCCAAAGCGACTTACATACTCAATACTGTGGACAATCCCCACAGGAGCAATTTGGGGTGAAGTGTCCCAGGGACACAACAACATGCTGACTGCAGTGGGGTTTGAACCTGTGCTCCCCTGATCCGAACACCAACACACTAGTCCACTGCGCCACAGCCTCCCCAAAACTAATGTTAAAACACATTAAAAGTATTTGTTGAGACTACAGCTGACAGTGTTAAGGAGGCTCTGATGGCATCTGTAGTCTTCCATAATAAAACAGAAAAACAATGTTTTGAAGAGAGAGGAGCTCAAGTTGAAAAGAAGAAGTCTCCAATTAATTATTTTTATGAAGCTTTTTACTTGTTAATATTTCCAATTTGGAAAAAAACAAGTTATTTGACCAACTTTGAAGTTAATGCTTGTGCCTGTTTTCACATCTCTCTGCAGATTCCCCATTTGCACTCACTAACAAAGCCACTGCTTCGTGTTTGGTGAAAAGATCAGTCCGCTGCCTTGAAGTGCGCTGGACGACTGGTGATCGTCTTTTTGTTACCTCAAGCAAAAAGTGCCTTGGTGCTCAGGGCAAAAGTGTGGGGAGTGAAGTGAGCCTCTACGATTGTAACAACAGTGACCTACAAAAGTGGGAATGCAAGAATGAAACACTGCTTGCCCTCAAAGGCCAATCGCTCTACATTGAAGTCAAACCGGATGATTCAATTGCTCTCTCCAGAACTGTCGGGCCCAATAACAAGCTCACCATCACAGGGACAGCCAGCGGTGCTTGTTCAAGAACATACAGAGGTACAGTATGAACACTGAACAGCCACACCCTACAATAAACAACACAATAAAAAATCCCAGTAAAAATCATGCATATTTGTGTCAGTTGAATGATGCCACGTGTTTCTTCTCACTAGAGTTTGGCTGTGATTGACGGAAGTAAATTGAGTGAGAAGAGAAAACATTTCAAGACGATTTCATTTGATCAACCTCTTGATTCCCTTTTAGAACTTTACACCCTTGAAGGCAATGCGTTTGGGAAGGTCTGCATGTTTCCCTTCATGTACAAAGACCGGTGGTTTGGAGACTGCACTACATACGACTCCTCGGTAAAGCGTCAATGGTGTGCAGTTGAAACAAAATATGAACATGAACGGTGGGGATACTGCCCTACTAATTGTGAGTACTGCATTTCATTTACAACATTACATGCATCTTTAGGCAGATTCGTTTTGGTTTCAGAGTACATATTACGTGATATTTTTTACGAGTTGATGTGTAGTTTAATCAACATAACCTGATGCTAAACACAAAGCATGCAATGTGAGAGCTCACTTTTAGGTTAAAAAGTGATGAATTGTTGTTTGAATTAATTCAGTATTAACTTTTTGATGTTACTGTGTTGAACAGCCAATGAACACTGGGCGAAGAACATTGTCACAGGAGCGTTTTACCAGATCAACACACAGTCGGTTCTGACTTGGGCCCAGGCTGATGCCAGCTGCAAACAGCAGGCGGCCAACCTGCTCAGCATCACAGACCCTCACGAGCAGGCGTTTGTCTCAGGTAAGATACCACCTGGTGGATGGTGCAGATGCATACTGACCCACCATAGAGTGGTCACTTTGTACATGTATCATCTCACATGGGTTAAATGGTCTGTTGGTAAATCAAAAAGCCCTTAAATGATCTTAACATGTTAAACTTTTTGAGATAGAGTCTAGCACTTTTTTATAAATTGATATTTAAAATGATGTTTAATGCATCTATTCTAAGTAAGGAAAACATGGCCAGTATTTGTTTCAGTAAGATACTCTGTACGTTTGGAATCTTAAGATTTTGTTTGAAAATAAGTTTTACCAAATGACATTTACTTTTCAAACCACTGAAATTGTTTTATTCAATAGACATGTTGTTGTTTTGTTTAGGGGGAAAACAAGAAACAAGTTTATTAATTTTTTTATTTATTTGACAGGGTCAGTGCACATTGATTGACATTTCTGTAAATGCGCCAGAGTTAGCCAACAGGTTATTTTTCATCTGCAGTCCCTGGACAAAACAAAATGCACTTCAAATGACAGTGATACAATGACTACCAGTAACCAGTAGTTCTAGAAAAAAAGGCCTCCAGAACATTATGATCAGCCTAATGTTGGTCCAAGGGTCATTGTGACACTGCGACACAGAGGAAATTGTGCAATCCATTTTTACAGGAGTGATATGAAGCCTCTGCACTTTGGTTGCAAATCTGTAGGTCTCGTTGAAACTAGCTCCCAATCACTCTCAGTTTATTTATTATATTTTTATCACACATCATTAGATGTACTAATATGCACTGTTTTTCTCTAATCCTGACACTCTTAAAGGACATGGTTAATTTTTTAAGCTTTCCCTTGTGTGACTTTGAATTCTGCCTTTTGCTGACTTGTTATAAAGCATGCAAAAGAGGAACAATGTGCAAAAGAGGAACAATTTCTTTACTCTGTCCTTTTCCCTTTTTTCTCCCTCTCAAACACACAAACACACATTAACACACAGCACTAATGGGATCAGGGAAACTTCAACTGTGGATCGGGCTGGTCCTTGACCAAGATCATGGCTGGCAATGGACGGATTCGAAGCCCTTCTGTTATCTGCGATGGACTGCAGGTAAGTCTGCACGCCAGAACAGTTCAAAGTGATCTTCCAAAGTTCCTCTAGGAAATGACCCTATCATTCCCTACAAACTCTCTAACTGACTGTGTGTTCAGCTTATTGTTTTGGTTTTAGAGCCTAATACTTTATTGTTATGGTTCACTCTCATGACACGCACCATTGTGGTTTTTAGTGAAAAACTGTAAACTGTAAACTACCTGCATAGCACTAAACCGACTCAGTTAGCAATTAGCTTGCATCATGATGAAGCATTAAGCAGCTAAATCCTTGTCAATGTTGCTGTTTCAATGCCGACAAAAATCAGCTTTTTCTAATAATGAAACATGCACACAAAACATATTTTCCAGTCATCCTGTCCCTAAATGAATATCCCTTTCGAAATAAATTCCACTTTTTTTCCCTTGATAAGATCCCATAACTTCCTCATTTAAATAAGGGATATTATTGGACAGGATTGCAAGATGTGTTATACCTTATGATATCTAGAGAAACAAGAAACCAGGCTGTGTTAGTCAGTGTATCTAGTCCGTGTATTTTAATCTCCACTCATAAAGAAAGGAATCTCATGTTAACTCATCATCTTCTTTTAGGTAATCCACTTCCTAATCCTGGACACAACTGTGCATTTCTTGACTCTGCTGGGCAGCACACCTGGCAAAGTTCATCCTGCGGCAAGAAACTGAGCTACGTCTGCTACAAACCCGGGGTCCCTCCAACTCCTCCACAAAGTACATAAACATATTCTACCTTCCCAAAAGCTACTGTTTTTCCTTGTTGGTATCAGTCATTCATCCCCTTTTGTTCCTTTTCTCATCAGTTGAGCAAGGATCTTGTCCAGACCCTTGGATTCCCTACAATGGACACTGTTTCCACCTTAAGCGGACAGCTCTAATGTGGACTGATGCTCAGATAGATTGTCGTAATGAAGGAGGGGATCTAGTGAGCATCCGCAACGTGGAGGACCAAAGCTTTATCATCTCGCAACTTGGATATGGTACGGGATGACACGACAGTCTAACTTCTTAACGTCTTTTTTATGCTGTGGATTGATTTCAAAACCTAATCTATTTTTTTATTTGACATGAACACACTCAGACTTAAACATCATAAAATGTTGATCTCCATGACATGCAAGAATTTAAAAATACAGTCAAATGTATTAGGATTAGTTATTTATTCATGAGATAACTAACGATGCACTTATAATCATGTCGGAGACATTGTTAATTGGCGCAATCTCAAAATGGGATAATTATTAATATATTTCAATGTTTGTTGACTGTTAAGGGGTCTGCAGAAGACAAGGTTAGCATTTTACAGAGTTAACAGCAGAGTAAATCGATAGGGAAGACTGTAAAATACAGTATAATAAAGAAACAAATACAGCTACACCAATGTACTGAGAAAATATGTATCACCTAAAGTAGAAAGTGCAATACTTGCTGACAGATTTACTGATGTCTACAATTGCTTATTTCTTACCAATGTTCACATCAACAAAACGTCCACTATTATAGTTGAAGAACATGTTAAAAGAGTAAGATTTTTGCCAATGGTTGACATGAGATACTGTATATTCTTTACTGCCCATGTTTGCAGCACCCACTGATGAGCTTTGGATTGGGCTGAACGACAGGACGACAGAGGGGCTGTTTGAATGGAGCGACCACTCCACTGTCAGTTACACCAGCTGGGAGTTTGGGAAACCTACTGTTTCCGCACATACAGTCAACTGCGTTCTGATGAAGGGAGATGTAAGGAGCACCATGTGGATATGACTGTTTTTATTATTTATTGTATCCTTCCTATACCCATTCAATACCACTAAATCCATACAGGTCATACATGGGGAAAGGTCAGATACCACCCTGGTTGAATGGAACTTTAGAAAAGCTCTATTGATTTGTACAATAAATATGCAGATGCATTTTGTTTGTAAAGACAGATTTGATCTTATCCTGGGCGACGAAACAAATTTAGAGCTTAGGGTCGAATTCATCAATTATTTTATTTTGTTGGAAGCTACGAACGTAGTTCGTAAGTAGTTATACTCGCATATATTTATTATTGTTTGTGACATTCAGTAAAATTGTCATTGTCATAACATAAGAGACATTTACTCGTAGTGCAGGACAATATTACATATAAAACCACATTCAATATTACAAGAACAAATCTGTTGTCTGTCGTATAAGATAAAGAATAAGCATTAGAAATGTCCCATTATGAATGAGTGTTGTAGTCAATCCATCCAGTATATTTGATTCAAATGTATGCATCATTTTTACAGTTTTTTTCTTCTTGCAGAATGCTAACTGGGCGGATAACTATTGTGGAGATAAACATGGTTTTATCTGTATGAAGCAAAGCTCCTCAGAAACCAGCCCGGTAAAAGTAGATGTGGACATTGGCTGCGAAGCTGTGAGTACATGTTGTTAGAGGAAAGAGTATATGAGCTCTATAAGCATATAATATGAATTCATAATATAGTATCAAAGTGCATGATTAATAAGACAGAAATTACCTTTGAATAGTTACTGGCTATATATCACGTTCAGATGTAGGTCAGCTTATTATCTCTCTCATGTATACTGAACCAATGCAGATAAATGTCTTTTTTGTACAAAATGGATATGTAGCATTTTAAAATCACAACTCTCAAGATCTAATTAGTTCTCTGTGTCCTACAGGGTTGGAAAAGACATGGGTCCTATTGCTACTTCATAGGAACGGAGACAAAGACGTTTGATGAAGCGAAAGATGCCTGCACGACCTCAAGCTCCTACTTAGCTGATGTTTCCAATGGGTAAGACCCCTTATGTTTGTATTAGAGATGAGATGACTATGTGCAAGTGCCATACACTATATTCCACACGATTGGATTAAACAAAAACTAAAAGTCCATCTACTTGTGTAACTACTTCCAGAGTGGATAATGCCTACCTCGTCAGTTTGGTTGGGTTGAGGCCAGAGAAATACTTCTGGCTCGGCCTCTCAAACCAGAAAAACATTGATCAATTTGTGTGGACCAACTCAGACACGGTGAAGTTTACTCACTGGAACGCTCAAATGCCAGGTAGGGTGAAAGATGCAATTGTATCTTTAAAAAAGGAGGCATTACCAGTAGCTCCTCGATTAACAATAACATATTTATACCCAAATCAAGGTTACGAAAAAGGCTGTGTTGCCATCACAACTGGGATATTGTCTGGACTCTGGGATATGCTGCCCTGCACCAATACGGAGAAATACATCTGCAAACATCTGGCACAGGGGGCAGTTTTAACCCCTGTGCCACCCACTCAAAGACCTCCTGAGTGTGAGGAGGGTTGGAATCGAATTGGAACAAGAAACTTCTGTTCAAAGGTACAACCAGCGGTCAACGCAAATAAAACATGTTGATACCAACAGAAAAATATGTCCTTTCACATTTACCATCAAATTAATTAATTCAAAAAATATAACCAAACTTTAAACTACTACTATTGTATGTTAGCTGTTGTTTCTAGGGACAATCTGATCATCATCATGAGCATAAGTTGAATATTGGCCAAAATGACTGGGTTGGTAATCAGAGGCTTAAACTATCTGTCAAAAGTTATAAATGCAGATCAGTGGAGTTATAGCAAGTACTTGGCACTGAAATTATGATTTCTTTGTTACAGTTATCTAAATAATTATTTTATACAGAGTTGCAACTTAAATTGAATCTAAAATGTTTTAATGGTGCTGACCAACAATCAAGCATTTCTATATATGTTGCCATACTACATATACACAGTATAGTTTCTCCTGTGATGTATTAATGGGTTTGCACTGGTTTATTCCACATATGATTACCTCAGGAGTTAGAAGGGACCAAAAACAGAGCTAAAGAGAGTAAATATTGGGCCAGATAGAGAGGAACCCGCCTCCAATTGAATAACTGTTTGCTAACGAGTTTGCCATATGAACTAAAAGGAGATGATACTGTATGTCGGTGTTGTGTAAACGACTTGTTTCCCCAAGTGGCGAGAAACATTACTGTTTGTGTGGGCCAATGTCACAGGTCACAAATAATTTATTTCCAATTTTTTGTTAAAAAAAAATACAAATATTAAATAAATATGATCTGGTTTACTTTAATCAGGTTTTCCCTCTTGTGCTCAGTTTTTCACAGGGCCTCGTGCAAATGAGAAGACCTGGTTTGAGGCCAGGGATTATTGCAAGGCCATTGGAGGAGACCTGCTCAGCATCCACAGCTCAGCTGAGCTGGTTGTGGCACGGTATGAGCCTGTTTGAACTATTACTTAAAAAGTGACACGGATTAATATACAGTGTGGTATTAGATCCCTCTGAAAGAAAAATAATAAAAAAAGACACAAAACTTACACTGAATACGTAAAATAATAGAATAAGAAGTTCACCTTGCAATTGAGATCTGTTAATTTGCTTGAGTACTTTTTGTTGTAGTTTTCATCTCTTCAATTAAGTCATACGGGGTAACAGTAGTCAATATAATAATAATAATAATACTAATAATATGGATAGATAAATCATTTATTAATCTTTGTACTGCAGACACGGAAAAGCCTGGATTGGACTTCGTATTCCTGACCCTGTCTCTGGTTTTACATGGACTGATGGATCACCGGTTAGTTGACTGTGTTTTACTTTTTCCAACTAATCTGATCATCAAAATCACTCAATCCTGTAAATATGTATTTTCGTTCACAGGTAAACTTCCTACACTGGCAGGAAGGAGAGCCCAATAATCACAACAATGATGAATCTTGTGCTGAGTTCAGGATTCACAACTGGGATGAGTCCGGGTCTTGGAACGATGTGAACTGTGAATTGTTCAATGACTGGCTGTGTCAGATCCGCGCAGGTACGGTTGAAAAAGAGTGTAGTTAATGCTTTTCTTTTAAGACGTTGTTTTAAACATTCTTTCAGGAACAACTGACTTGATATGTATTTATATTTTATTTTGTCTTCATTGGACCATTTTAGTTTTAATTCTTATTTTTAAATTATATGTTTTTTTGCACATTCTTATTTCTTATGTTTATATAAATATTGTGTTTTATTTATATTTTTTAATTAATGAGGAAACTATCACACATTTGCCAGGTTAAATAAAGTATTTATTATTCTGAAATACTTTTACAACGACAGGGTTTAAGATATGTCTTGAATAATAACACAAATTATTTATCTTACATTTAACTTATCTTATATTCAATCAGATAATAAAACTAGGCAAGATGGCGTGTTACCCTTTCTGATTAACATGATCAAAAAGTAAGAAAAGACTCAAAGACAAGTACCTGGAGGATGGGAGATGTTTTTGCTTTCTTCTGCATGAAATTGACATTATTTTGTGGCCTTACAGGAGTGACACCAAAGCCACCTCCAAATAATACTGTGGTGGGTAAGTGACTTTGTATAACCAAACACACACCCATGGGGATAGAAACAAGTGCAACACATTTAGACATAGCTGTTTAGTTACAGTCACATGTAACACTTTTTGATGTGTTCAAGTACTAGCTTAACATTTCACAGTTATGATTAGTATATATAATGATCACAAAAGTCTTACAATTGGCTGTTTCAGATGCTAAAACCCAAAATGTAACACATCTTATTGAAATGTGAACATACAAATATATTAAAGGGTCATGAAAACCAAGTGAAAGACAACTGGGACATTTTTAAATATGACTTTTTCTTAATTAAGTAGTTTATTATTGTCCTAAACCAATATATCTTTAAAAAAAAAGAAGAATGAAGGCACACTTGGGATAGGCCATATAAAGGACCAAAACTCATTAACTTTGATGTTTTGTAAACTTTCAGATGAGGAGTGTTATAGTGTTAAAGATTGGCTAGAACGGAAAAAAAAAGAAAGGAAAACTTGAAAAAGAAAATACATTGAAAATTGTCAATATCTTTCTAAAACCTTTGCAGCATTTAACACGACATCTGACGGCTGGCTTGTGTGGAGAGGGAGTCAGTATTATGTGAACGGAATGGTAATGTCCATGGAGGACGCTCGTCTCTTCTGTCAGCAGAGGCATGGGGACTTGGTGTCCATCAACAGCAAAGACGAAAATGTCTTCCTATGGAAACAGGTAGGGGTCTTCGTGTGTGTTTTTCTTACACCTTGAAAGTGTACCCTTATTAGAAGAGCCTTTTATAACTAGAAGGGGTCTTAAAGGTTGCGTGTTTGTGTGTTTGCAGATTTCCAGAAGCTATGGGTCCTATTATATAGGTTTGTCAGTCGATCTTGATAGGTCATTTTGGTGAGTATAAATATAAAATTATATAAAATGAAATACAATGATTTGATCTAAAGTGGTTAGGGAAATCGTTGTTGCCTATTGCTGATAATACTATGTGCATTTTATTGTGCATAATTTACATTATGTCATCCTCAACCATGCATTATTCCACTTTTCCTAACCTTCCGGTTTACCTTTTTAAGTAATTGTAACGCTTTAGTTGGACTTCATGCATAACTTTTCTTGATTTTAGTGGGTTTTTTTTTTTAAATGTGCAAGTCATTTTTACCTCTATATTTAATTTTTCTGCGGTTTATGAACCATGGAAAAATGGTTGATAGTATATAATTTGGGTTACAGTATATAATGTGAAACTACTATTCTTTGCTTGATTACACATTGTAATTGATGTAACTGTGTGTGGTTTAAGGTGGATGGATAATTCTCCAGTGGGGTATCAAAGATGGGATGAAAATCAACCAAATGATAATTCCTTTGATGAGAGCTGTGTTACTATGACTTATTACATGGGTGAGTAAATTCAAATTGAACGATGATAAAGAGACAAGATGTTCTAAATAAGATTAGATGTAAGTAAAATGTTGCTGGTGAAATGTTACTGATCATATCTCTGCTGACTTTATAGGCTTCTGGCGTACTGTTAATTGTGGCCAGGAGCAACGATCCATCTGTAAACGAGGAGGCTCTCCACCCGTCAACAGCACTGCTGCCCCCAAAGTCCCTCCTAAAGGTGGCTGTCCACTCAAATGGACCAAATTTGACTCAAAGGTGAAAAACAACTGCTAAATTATGTTAATATCTTCAGCACAAATCTTACAATACCACTTATTTAATCTCAGTTATTTAGCATTTAGATGTTCTTTGTCTCATGGGACTGATTTGTTTTGAAGGTCATATCAGATGGCCTTGAAGCTTAAATACAAAATGTTTTTTGGTTGTAGAGGGAAAATAATCAATATTTTATTCCTCATTTATAGTGTTACAGTATTATTAGCAGTCGAGTGGCCACCTGGGAGGAAGCAAGGAGACAGTGCATTACCATGAGAGGCAATTTAGCGTCAATTTCCACAAGACGTGTGCAAGGTTTGTTCCACATTTATTCCTATTGTTTTAATTATCATCATGTAACATAATCATGAATATGATCTAAATACAGAAAGGGAACGTTCCTGCTTAACCTTAAAACAACTGCACAAATTTAACAGGCACATATTTGAGATGTCATTTATATGGTGTCTTCTAACTGATTTAAATCTAATTTAATCACAATCTTAAAAAAAATGAACCAAAAAAGGTTATAACGACTTAATTTCTACCATTTACATTTTCAGCATTTTTGACTACTAAAATGGCTGAAATATCAACTACAGACCTGTGGATTGGTTTAAATGGTTTGAAACAAGACGGGTTTTTCTGGACTGATGGCAAAACAAGGCTATACACCAACTGGGGCTATTCTGTAAGTACACACAATCTACAAACTTGTTGTTGAGTTGCTGTCTAGATGGAAAAAGTGTTTGAAATATTTGTTATCTTGTTCTGCTCTTTAGAAACAACGACGTCGTCCGGGGACCTTTTATAAAAGATGGGATGAGGTAACATTTTAGCTGCTTGTTTAAAGTTAAATATCAGTCTTTTTAGTTTTTAACACCAGATAAAGGTAGTAAGCAGTCCAATCAATCAATCAAGACTGCTGCAATTTTAAACCATGATTCAGAATTTGTTTACATTTGAATGTCATACTGTAAAGATGTTTGACTTCCCACCCCACTCCTAATATACTTAAGCAGGAACAATGTGTTATGATGACAAGGAGTCCTGATCTTGGTACCGGGAAATGGCTTATCAAGGGCTGCAATGACACCAATGGATTTGTCTGTCTTCAAAATCTTGGTGAGTTTATGAAAATGAAAGGTGATGTATGCATGTCTTGAATTAAGAAATTAGGGTACCGCATTATATAGCCTAAACATCATTGTGCATTCTCCGTAGTAGAGTAAAGATGATTTGAAAAAGTGTTTGCAGTCAAATTAACAGTTTACGTGGCAATAAGATGTCTGTAAAAATAACAAAACATAAAAAAACGATTGTCTTCCTCTCAACAGACCCACATATCCCGCCCCAACCAGAACCAGACATTTCTAACATCTATGTACATCTGGGAAATGACAGCATCAGAGTTGTGACTAACAATCTGACCTGGGAGAATGCAAAGAAGCTATGTGAAAATGAAAAAGCAAACCTGGCTAGCCTGCGAAACGAGTGGACGCAGGCCCACGTGGAGCTGCAGGCTATGCACCTCAAAGCCCCTCTTTGGATTGGACTGAACAAGAATCAGGTACATAGCTGCAGAAAGCTCAACATTACTGTCGAAACAACTCCTATGGGCTAGTTTCAGAGTTTCACTGTTTTTGTTTTTATAACTGATTTACTATAGATAATTATAAGATTTTATCCATGAGGAAACAACAAAGTGTACAATTGTTTAATCTATGTGGCACAAAATTACATTTCAAAAAGCCATTGACAATGCATGCCAAATTAAAATGGTGATTTGATCCATTCTTGTTTTCAGACACAAGGGTATTTTAGGTATATTGATGGCTGGCACCTGAATAATGCAGGCTGGGCTGCAGGGGAACCAAGCAGGAACAGGCCGTGTGTGTTCCTTAATGTGGATGGAAAATGGGAGACTGCTTTCTGCAACCAGACCATGAACAGTGTTTGCATGAAGTCTTCAGGTACGAACGCAAATAGATAGTGTCAAGTAAGGGTGTAATGAAACATGATATGGATGCATAACATCAACAATAACTCCAATAGCATGTCTTTGTCCATGCGCAAGTCCTTCCTTTACATTGAACAGTGCCTAAACATCGTTAATGTGACACTTTATAGGTAACAGGAGGTCTATTTGTATCCTTTTTATTTAATTGTAGATTTTCTTTCATTTAAATGTCTGGAAGAGCTAACTCGTAAAATTGTCAAATTATATTTTAGTTGATTTTTGTGAAAATGTAAGAGATAATTGACATATTGTATCGTATTGTTCTACATACAGTAAGCAGGTTTTCTGTGGCAGACACTGGTCGCAATACCATAGAGCATATATCATCTTATCATTTTATGAGCCAGCAGTGATTTCCTTGAACATAAACAATACTTTCTCTGTCAATCACAGATTTGCCACCAACAGAGTCAACCAACTTCCCAGGGATTTGCCCTGACGAGACGAATGAGGAGTACCACCAGAGTTTTACCTGGCTGCCATACAAGGGTCATTGTTATTTGTTTATAACAGAGGAAATTGAATGGGCAGATGCAGCTAGCAGCTGTGTCAGGCATGGTAAGAGACACATGTTATTTATATATGTATTCATTGTGTGTTATATGTATTATTAATGTAACTTTTGTATATCATGTACTGCCCAAATAATATAAAATAAAGTTTTCTAAAAAAAAACTAAGAGATACATCCTGCAGAGAATAATTGTATACCTAGCCCTAATATTTGTTGTTTTATTAGGACATGTTAATGTTGTTCTACAGGTCAGTAAATGTGACCAAACCACAACTAGCAATAGGGTTTAGGTAATTGTTATAACCGGTTCTGTTATTTTGTTCTGAAGGTGGAATCCTGGCTAGTATCGAAGATCCAGATGAGCAACAATTCATTCAAAACAATGTGAAAATGTTTCAAGATAGCCACACCGCTTTCTGGATCGGCTTGTATAAAACTCATAAAGGTACGACTACACTCTTTGTACCAATACACATTTTATTTAAAAGAAAAACTGTTCTTAAAGTTAATTAATTATTCCTCACTGAAATGCATTGCGTGTATCCGTCGGATCTAACCTGTTTAATACATTTTCTTCCTCTTGAAACTGAACTTGTGGAAACCTTAACAAAAAGCTTTGATGGTGCATTGTTGCGTATCTTTGCGCAGTGCTGCCACCTGTCGGTCAAAGGAATAATGTTTGAAAAATGAATTGCAATAGTATTATATGTATTTCGCCATGCATGTATTTGAAAATGATTGTAGCTCTCTTGGTTTTGTACGTGATTAAATGAAAACAAACTAAACATTTTTAAAAAATCTTCCAAATGAAAAATTCTAGCTTGAATTCACCAAATATAGTGTTTACCAGATGTTGCCCCTGTAGTGATACAATCATTGTCCGTTTGGCCCCAGGAACATGGATGTGGTTGGATACAACTGTGATGGACTACACTAACTGGGCTGCAGACGACACTGATAATGACTACGCAGAGATGGCCACCTCGGACGGGGCTTGGAAGACGGGGCGCAGATGGCACGACAGATCATACGTCTGCGAAACACCCAAAGGTAAGATCACTTAACCATGTCATTTAAATGTTTCTTTTCAGAATGTAGCATAATATTACACATTTATATTACATAAAAGAGATTAATAATATGAGACATTTTCCTTTCCCCCCCCCCCCCCCCAACAGTGATGCCTTCAGATCCAGGAGGAAAACCTGGTAAGTCTTCGTTGAGTATTTGATCATTATTATTGGAAAAAAAACCATTACAGTAATATAACATTGACAGGTTTCAAAAATATGTAACGGAAAATAAAATAAATGTTTGGATTGTTTTGACTGATATCTTCTTTGATGAAATGTGTGCAGAACCCCTGAAAAAGGATCCTCACAGTCGTGTCCACACCAGTTTGATAGTCGTGCTGATAATTACCGTCACTTCTACGCTGATAGCCTTTGGATTTTTCGTCTACAAGAAGGCTCCCCGTCCCACCTTACCCACCTTTGACAATCCGCTCTACTTCGACAGAGAACGATCCCAACCTGATGTGGTCGATACCAATAAACTGATAGAGAATGCAGAAGAGGAAAACCCTGAGCCTATTATAGCTCTGTGATTTATAAAGTAGTAAAATCTAGTGAGACACTGAATCCCAGGCTCATGTATTACACGGTGATGCTTTGTTTGTTTGTTTTTGCTTTGTTTTGTTTTTTACAATATTCAGTGTATATTCAGTTATTTAACAATAAGTCACTAAGTGTGAGTTTCAATGGAGTTGGCTATGTCTGACCTCCTGGAACAGAACAGTTTAGGCTCTAGGATGTCTCAATGGGAATGATTGTTTTTTGATTTTGTCTTTTTATCTGATTAAATGTACATAATATAATTGTTACATGTTATGCTTATGCTCATTAGATGCTGTAGATTGCTTGTGCTCTTAATATGAAAATAAATCTCACTGCCTGTCACTGTTAAATAAACAATAAACTTGGTACTACATGGTAATTAAGTGAGTTATATCTTGTGAAATAAAATAAAATAACAAGGGAATAATTAACTTCCCGTCATCTTCCCATTCTAGCTGTTCAGTGCCAGTAAATATAGCTCAACAAGGATTTCAGTTTAGATATATTTATACAGAGCCCAAATATATATAAGTATCCTAGTATCCTAGTAGTGATTGTTAGCATTATAGTGTACTTCTATCAATATTCATGTAAGTCAAGTACATCTGAAAAGAGGGAATGTATACGATAGATGGAAATCTTCACATCACCTGTATCGATTAATGGTCCCTTTATTTTCTTGAATTGCATGCTTGAATGCCTTATTTAAAGTGGACCTATCATGCTATTTTTAGGCAATAGCATAGGTCTCAGATATATAAAAAAATATTTAAAAAAAGGCTATGAAGTTTTTTGCTCAAAATACCAAACAGATCACCCATTCTAGCCATGCCTCATATCCCTCTAGTTCACTTCCTGTTTCAAAAGTGCTGATTTTGGGGATAAAGCTTTAAAAAAAAAAATTTGATAAAAAAAACAGAGGGGGCTGAGCTCATGCGGGAGATGCTACCGGCAGCTACTGCGGTGATGAAACGCCATATCATGGATTATCAAGGATTATTTCTGAAACATTATGGAGCTCAAAGGCTCTCTCTCTTGCCGGCTATACCACAAGTTGAGTTCCTTTTTATTTCCTGCTTCTTCACACACATGCTCTGTGCAGTACAGGTAAGCTCTGAGTGTTAGCGATGCCAATGTAAACATGCACCGACCATATTACGTCCAAAACAGTCGGGCATTGTTTCTAATAGCAACGTTTCTGATCTGAGATCTGAGGGCCGTGGGCGTAAAGCCAGCCTACATTTCCGATATTACGTCATATCGGACACAAATCTGGATCAGCTCCGTTGTGGCCCCGTTTTTAGAGATTTGGGTACGGAGGAAAAGAGAGAGGGTTTTATTTTCTGACGCTGAGTGAGTTCCCCGACACACCGGGGACACATCTTTATGTATAAAAGACATCAAAAAGTGCATTTTGCATTATAGGTCCCCTTTAACAAATGCAGAATCAAACAGCATATTTCCCAACCCTGTCCTAACTTGCATTACCAACACCCAACAGCTGAAGAAATAAGGCGCAGGTATTGTAAAGACAGAGACTCTCAACAAGTGGTACAAGAAGTAACAATGACAAAGAATCCCAAATAAAAAACATCCAGAATAGTTAACCCTTAGAGTGTTTAGTATGTTTCCCAATGAATCCCTACCACCATTTTCAGTATTCTGAATCATAAATGTAACTTTGCATTTTCATAATATATAAAAGTTACTTGAAAAGCCATGAAAACATAAAAAGATGTCTCAGGTACATGCCGTTTAAACTACTATCCTCTCAATGTAAAACGGTGGGTGTTTAGGGTTTTGCACTGAACTTTAAGAAACAGTTATGCAAACCAGCAATTGACTGAACATAAATTAACTATGATAAAAACAGGAAAACATTACTACACACTACATGAACAACTTCCCAAAAAGTTCATATTGCATTGTGAGGAAATTATATGGCAAATTTGTGCTGACAGAAGCAGCTTGTTCAACTGTCATTAGCCAACTTTCTTTCATAGGACAAGCACCAGATTTTTACCTCAAACTCAAGACATTTTATTAATCAGCCGTATACTTACAATTCACTTCACAGATTAACATAAATCACTTCCTCTTTTTGTGCCACTGACACAACATTTATCATAATTCATGATAATTACTGTCAACTCCGATGACAAATAACAACTGTACAGTGTTTGCTCTGTCCTGGGTTTTATTCCTTAGACCTGGCGGTGTACAGTCACAATGGAAACACTATGTCAGTCAGTGTAATTTAGTCAAGTCTGTTAGCTAGTTAAAGTTGTCAGAAACCTGTTCCGGAAATGTAAGTGATGGCTCGCTTCATTCACGTTAACTTAAAAGAAAACAAGATTAAACTCTATTTCCTTAAGTCTGAGGGTGGATCACCCTTTAGCTGATCAGTTCATTTGTATTGATCGGTTGAACATGACCTTTTGCAATGCGTGCATTGGGCTTTTTTTTTTGCTGTGGCAGCTAAGACATTAGCAACGAAAACAGTAATACAGTTCATCACTTACAGTATCAGTAAAACGCATCAGGAAAAGGGAAGTCAAGTCAGTATGTCGACATCAGATCACTGCTTTATTAAAGAAACTATTATTGGCCAGGTATGTTTGTGCAAACAATACATTTGAGTGTGATTTTTTGCATTGCTCTTATTGAACAGATACAGAAAGATAACGGAAAGTAACAGGGACAACAAACATTAAATATTATATAAAAAACCCTCACCAAAAAATATAAAAACTTCTGCAGCACCATTGATAACTCCACTCTATCTTTATGTCTGTCATTCACATATTTCCTTCTTACTATGCTCACCCCTCCAATCAGCAATCAGAGGCGTTCACTCCGCAGCTAAACCTATCACTTTTGTCTCTATTCCCACAAGCCGATCATAGAACATCATCAGACCTTTAAATCCGCTCTCTCCCCTCCGGACAGCTGTCATTGCAGGTGACTCAATGCAGCCCTCCTCCACCCCTTCCACTTCCCATTTCTCCGAAACCAGGGTTCACGTCAAGCCTAAACCACTCCTCTTCAGACCGACCGGGTGGGGATTTATTGGCTCGGTATTGCCCTCCTGGATGATACTCCCCACAACAGGGTCTAATAGCCAAACACCATTACATTCATCTGTGTATTTCTTGGCAATAATTACATATTGTTACATCAAAACATGTCTCTCTGATTTAACTATTTATATTTATTTATTTGATAAAATACACCAATGAATAACACTACAAACACACATCTATATACAACTGAAGTGTTTCTTAAGTTGTACATTATATAGAGTGCAGTAAATGTGGTAGAGTGGTGCCTCACTAAGCTAAATTGATATTGATACAGTAATCAGAATTGTCGTTCTCCTTTTTGTTACTCTAATTAACGACAGCCTTAACTTGTTTTCATCTGAAAGTTGGTTAAAGCTAAAAGGCAGCCTGGTGCTGAGTATTATTACAGAGAGTAACGACTGAATTATCAGACAAGATATTCCATGAAAGACACTTAACAGTAATTCATGTCTAATATTAACTAAAGTTGGGACTTCCTCTCAATCAATTCCAGAGAAGTTTGCATTTGCTTACTTAGACAATACATAATTGACCATTAGGGTTACGATCACTTCCTTTTGGTAAGAATTGCACAATCCAAAAAGTGTGTGTACGTGTCTAAACGGTTAAAGTTTTGCTTACGAGCTAATACACCTGCTAACAGTGTGCTTTCTCTTGCATCATTTAATATTTCCTATGCAACGGGAAACATTTAACATTCAATACGTCGCTTCCTGAAGATAAAATGCTGCTAAGCTGTCTGGGGTAGTCAAAATAAAACAAGCATTGGAAGTTGATTTGGGAATTGGCATTATTGATAAATGGAAGGCAGACTTGATTTAATAATACCCTGCTCTATTAACACCAGGCTTCAACTCCTTCAGAAAAGTACATACAGCACGTGATTACACTCCTCTAAGGCTGAAGTGCATAATATTCTTCACTATCATGTTTGAATGTGTATGCAAAACCCCTACAAATCACATTTTCAAACGAGAAATATCACCTTGTAGTTTCATGGTTCTACTTAACAATCTAGTAGCAGTTTACATCCCTGACTTTTCAAAAAATCATCACTTTATCATTTTAGACAAATTGTCATAATATGCATTTATCATTGAGTTATGTCCAAACATTTGTTTTTTGAGGTCAGAGTAAACTTAACCTTTGACCACCAGATTGTAACATTTTCATTATAGAATGGCACAGGAATGAGTCCTTAACCTAGAAATGAGCTAAACCTTTAGCACTTCTGGGTTCCCTCGTCTGAAACACTAGCTGAAGAGCTTTTTTATTTATTTTCGACGACATAAAATACGTCAGTAAATACCCAACTTGTGTCAGAATCTTTTAACGTCTCTTTTAAAAAAGAGGAAGGCTAACATATGATTAAATAAGACAACTAAACATCATGTGTGGGTAGCACAAACGCGTGTTTGCCATCCTATTTTCTGTCATATTCCAAAATCCAATGGAAAATCCAATGGAAAATCCTATTGCGACGCCAACAACAGCTCTCAACATCTGTCATACCAATCTTTAACAGTTAACAAATCCACTGAATTGTGACAAATGCTGGCCTCACTGAAACCCATGGTAAATTCTGAAGTCCATCACCATATATCTATTAAAGTACAACATCTATTTACAACTATTTCCACTGAAGAAACAACAACAATTGATAAAGACCTTATTTGAGACCTATTAAACAAGTATATCAAATGCTATTCAGATTGTTCAGACAGGGAGTTGACAGTGAAATGTAGTATCTTACAGGACTAAGTTCTGTATGCGAATGGGAGGCTGCGGCTCAGTGGGTAGTGTGCTGGACTTCAAATCAGGGGATAGCAAGTTCGATTCCCACTGCAGTCAGCATGTCGTTGTGTCCCTCACCCCAAATTGCTCCGGATTGTCCACAGTACTGAATGTAAGTCGCTTTGGATAAAAGTGTCTAACAAATTACATGTAACGTAACATAATGTAGTGTATGCACAACAGATTCTAGTTCACCAAATGTTTAATCAAACCATAATATGGTAATATTCTTGAAGACAGTAAATTAATGTGTGGCATTTTAGAATTGTAATACAAACATTTGTAAGCGTGTTGAGCTTAAAAAGAAAAGTACACCTAAGTGTTGCATGTGACATAATTGCAGCGACGTGCAGTGAGAAGTTTATACAGCCATGTGTTACTGGCAGCACAGTGAGTAAGTCCTCTTTTCTCAGAAAACAAGGTGTAGCGTTGTATGTAGCAATTAATGGAAGTGGTGTCGTTTGAAATGCTCATTGTCAATCAGCTTGATCATTGCAGCTTTATTTCCTGTAGGTTTGTGCCAGATGAACTCTGTTATGCTGTTAAAGGCTGTGTATTTTGTAAATTGTGTAATTCTTTTTTTTTAATTTAAAAACATTTTTTAATCTTTAATCTTTTTTTCTGTTTTTTTATGCATAGCCTACTTCTTGTTAAACATTCCTCTTCTACACCGAAAACGCATCATCTGCAGGAAACAGCGTCTGAGGGCATATTAATATTCAATAAACTATGAATGTTTTATGTAACGGGAAGAAACTCAGCTAATTGATCTTTTTTGCTTTTTTTTTTCAAAAAAACCCACAAAGCTAGTGCTGAGCCTATGAATTAGCCTCGAGCGAAAAATGCTAACGGCGTGTTGCACAGAAACTCACTCATAACACCCTTATTACTTATCATAGCTGCACCTCCAACTCATCGATCTGATCGTGAGATGACACAGAATCGATAGGTACATACATCATCACTCCATGATAAGAACTCGCGATGCTATTAACAAGAACAGACATCAAAACATGTTAGCTAGCGCTAGGTAGCTAAAAACGGCAACATGGCTCACCATACAACGCTGAAGTTGGCTTCCGATTCAGAGCATCCGATTCGGCAGTTAAGGGGAAAGTTAAGGGACATTTAATTTACAGCGCTGAACGAACAATCCTCCGTGTTTGAACCTCTTTAATCGCTGCATAGCCAATTTATTTGGACTGGATTATTGATTTCAGTGCTTTTTTCGCATCTGGACCACATTAGACCAGGTCCTGATCTAAAACCACCATACCTAGACTCATCAAATCTGGACTGGATTATCCCAGACACTCTAAAGATTCTTTATAACCCAGTTTTAGATTTGTGAAACCTTTATTATATTTGTGAAAATACAAAAAAGGGAGATTTCAGTGCTTTTTTCGCATCCTGACCACATTAGACCTAGTCCTGATCTAAAACCACTAGACCTACACTCATAAAATCTGGACTGGATTATCCCAGAGACTCTAAAGATTCTTTATAACATAGTTTGAGATTTGTGAAACCTTAATTATATTTGTGAAAATACAAAAAGGGAGATTTCACTGCTTTTTTTTAATATCTAGACCACATTAGACCAGGTCCTGATCTAAAACCACTAGACCTAGACTCATCAAATCTGGACTGGATTATCCCAGAGACTCTAAAGATTCTTTATAACACAGTTTCAGATTTGTGAAACCTTTATTTATAGTCTGCTTCAAATGAAATTATTTTCCTCACAGGATCCTTTTATTAAAGTTAAAGCGAAACTTACTAAAGCATTCTAACTGTTTATGCTTTAACAGCAATTAATAAATGATTCAGTCATAAATAATTTGCACCACGTTGCTATGAGACACCACAGCGTGTTCTCAGTGTTCTGCTCATGCTGCTTTGCTTTTGACTAACTGTTTTTGTTGTTCTGCTTTATGATTGTAATGCATGACTGTGCCAACATGTGTCTCCTCCTCCCTGCTCTTGTTTGTAGGCTGCACCTGCTTTTCAGGAGACCAGGCCTCGCACTTATGTTCTTTCTGCCAGTGCATCAGCGGTAAGAGTCCATCACAATCTGATCACAATCTGCAGGGTCTGTCACCCAGCAGGAGCTAGGCTAACATGCTAACAGGCACAGAGCCTTAGAACACCACATACTCCAAAAGACAGATTATGTAGCTCACATCAGGGCATAGAGCTGCTGCAGCCTCACCTGATCCAGCAGTCAAAAAAGCACTGAAATCTCGCTTTTTTGTATTTTCACAAATATAATAAAGGTTTCACAAATCTGAAACTGTGTTATAAAGAATCTTTAGTCTCTGTGGGATAATCCAGTCCAGATTTGATGAGTCTAGGTCTAGTGGTTTTAGATCAGGACCTGGTCCAAATAACGTGACAGACTGGGCCTGTGCAGTTGGTATCAGCTGTGCCCAGCATGGGCTCCTCCATCAGGCCTGGTCCTCCTCGCAGAGGAAAGACCCTCAGTCCTCTCCAAACCAACAGACAGGACGTCCATCACACAGAGGTTTCTCCCTGAAGTCTCTGCAGCTCTCTGGACACCACGCTGTCTCAATTCGTCCACACTGAATATGAGAGGGGGAAAATGAAAATAATAAATGCTTAGACAATAAGAAACATAAAGTTGACTGTTGAGTTGCTCAGTTTTTTTAGATTGTCAATACTATTACTGTATAACTAATATCTCAGGTTAAGAGGCACATTCAAATAAAGATTGGTCTTTAAATACATTTTATCTTTTTAATTGTTTGTCTAAAGTCAAGGATCTATAACTGGTACTTAGTTTTAATGATACAGTCTGGTTATTATGCTGTTTGGAGGAGGCCTCACAGGTAAGAGCACTAACTAGCTACCATCACATGTACCTTAGCTTGACTTAAATGTATTAAACGTATAGTTAAGTGATATCAAAATATAAATAACTAATGTCATGCAAATATATTAATATTTGCTTGATTTCAGTGTTGAATTTAGCACAATTGCATACAAACGTTAAGGGATTTTAAGATTCTGAAGTATTATGCTAAAAACTCAATAACTTAGATTATTATTTATAGTTTTGCTGAATAGTTTCATGTCCGCTTACCTTAGAAACGTAAAATGCCACGGCAGTGTGCAGATGGGGAGCATGTTAGCTTAGCTTCAGCTAGCTCTGGAACTTTCAGCTCGGTGGCAGCAGGTCCCGCCTCGGCTCCGCCTCTTTGCCCTTATTTGGAGCAGGCGGGAGTAGGCGGGAGTTGAACTCTGACGTCACCGTCGAGCCGTTAGTGGCCGACTCCGCCTACTAAAGGCTTCTCGGCAACTCTGCAGAATCCTATGGGTGACGTCACGGACCCTACGTCCATTTATATATACAGTCTATGTTCAACACGTGTATTTCGGTGTATTCACGGCATTCATTTTGTTATTCTACAGTATTGTTGTTTTATAGTTATTTGTTAATGTAACCCAATTTGTATCGCAAGGATATCGCATTGTGTGTGTTACTTTCGTTGCAGTTGTAGGCTATATGTCTTAAGTGTAATTTGGCTTGGCTTCCTATTTATGGACATGCTTTTATTTTGAAGGAGAGTTAGCGCAGTTGACAGGAAGTTGTTGTTGCATTGGAAACAACGTGATGGAGATTAACGGAGAAAAGTAATATCTACATATAAAGACGGAGAAAGTAAACGATAACGTTTATGGTTAAGTGTTAGCACCCCCCGAAGAGGCACAAGCTCTTACGTTGATATTGGAGATTTCAATAAATTAAATTCTAAAAAAAAATGGGAAAACAAACAAAACGAATATCCAAATAACGAAATTGAAACCCGAATAGTACTCCAATGAACGAATATTCGGATGTTCGGGTACAGCCCTAATCCATAAGCAATAAACCTGCTTTTCCGTTTCCAGATGTCAGAGCGAGAAATATTTTCACTCTGATGCAAACCTGAATGCACAAAGCCCCCACCTTTTTCTTTTACCATGTGTGTGTATGGGGAAATTCCCCTTGTGGCTCTAACGGTCAAAAAGAGATGTCAATCACCAAAATCGACCAATGGGTTCCAGAGAAACGGTAAAGACGGCCATTTCCACCCAAATCACCTCAGAGGTGGAGTTTTTTTTGCTAAATCTCTCTAAAAAGGTAAAATGTCACTTGTTTTGCATCAATCTTGATACAGGGTACTTATTATATGTTGTACTTTGGATTCCTAAAGCTTTTAGTCTACCTTACCATCATCCAAGGGTAGTTTTTACTGTAAGTAAAAAATTATTTTTGGACGGACACTATAATTTACAGTTTTTTACTATGTTCAATCTGAATTTTCTTTAAAATAAAAACATCTATATTGATTCTGACTCTTCTACATCCAACTCACAGGTTTATTATTACTTTGAGAAAAAAGATTATTAATTTAACCCTTTTAGAAGGGAAGATATGGTCATTTGTTCTAGGAATGTCATTTTCGAGCCTGAGACCTGAAAAACAGGCTCAGGGCTTAACAGGTGTCTTTGGCTCTTTTTCTGCTGGAACAAATGTACATTTCCCCTATGTGGGACAGATAAAGGTATTCTGATTCTGATTTAAGGTGGTAGAGATTGTTTTGTTTGTCTGAAGATTAGTGATGTAACAAATACCAAGAAATACCCAAGAGTGCAATTTTCAGTATTTTTCACTTCCTTTTCGTCTGAAATAGCTGACAAACAATAACGAGTCATGATGGTTATTCATTAAAAAAATGCCATGTGGCAATATAGGTAAAAGCTATATAATCTCCCCTCTTTCCACAATCATTCACATAACTCCTTAATCCTCTGTGAGAAATGCATAGATTAGGTTTTCAGGTGTGAGACGTCTCAAAAGAATACTAACAATGAAGATAACTTGTACAGCTTTTGTACTCCTCATCCAAGCATTACGAAGTTTGGCTTTAGATGGTAAGGTATTCCAACTTTAAATGTTATGCTTTTTGTGTGTTTCTTCAGAGCAGGTATGTCATTAACAATGCTCAATATAACTACTGTATGTGGGACTGTTTTACCCTTTACCATATGTTTTTGTTAAAATTCAATATTGAGGTAATTGTGATTTAAAGTGAGATGTTTGTTTTTGATTATTCTTTTGAAAAATGATCAGTATTATTGTCAGTGCAACATCAACTTATATTAAACCTAATGAAAGACTGAGGAAATAGTATTTGCTGATTAATTATGCATTTTATGCATTATTTCTTAAAAACATATTTTTCTACAGATTCACCATTTCAACTGACCAACAAAGACACTGGTTTTTGTTTGGTTAAATATAACCCATACTACTGCAATAATGTACGCTGGACAAATGGTGACAGACTTCAGGTTAAATGGTCACATAAGTGCCTGGGAGCCCAGGGGAAAAGTGTGAGAAGTGAAATAAGCCTCTATGTTTGTGATGAAACCAGCGACCTCCAAAAGTGGGAATGCACGAACGGGACATTGCTCGCCCTCAAAGGACAACAGCTTTACATTGAGCTCACTGCAGACAACACAGCAGTTCTCTCTAAAACAGTCGGACCAAACAACCACCTTACACTTTCAGGGACGTCCAGTGGTGCTTGTTCAAGAGCATACAGAGGTACAGTATAAAATCATTATAAAATGCTTGTCCACGCTAATTTAAATTATTTGTAAATCTTTAGAGGGATAATAACGTAGAACTAAAAAGATAAAAACAGATATATGCAATGGATTCCATCCTAGTATTTTGCAACATAAATGGTACACAATGCATCATATCTTCGTAAATTAGAAATACTCAAGATTTTCTTTGATTTGTTTGTTTATCCGTTCAGAATTTTTCACCATTGGTGGAAATGCAAATGGTAGGCCCTGCATGTTCCCCTTCCAGTATAAAGACAAGTGGTACACTCAATGCACTACGGATGATAACCCAGAAAACCGACTTTGGTGTGCGGTTCAAACTAAATATGATGATCAACTCTGGGGGTATTGCCCAACTAACTGTAAGTAATGCCTCTTTTATGTTACTATAATGAGAGAATGGTTGCAATAAACTATTTTTTAATGCAAAGGTGGCAAATGTTGAAGGTGGCTTGTTGTCAACATGTTGACTGGGCAAGATACTTAATCCCAAATAGCTCTGAACGGCATGCCCAACGATGTGTGAATGTTAGTTTCCCTAAGCAGATGCACCTTGTATGGCAGCCTCTGAGTGTGAATGCAGACTTGTATTTGTCAAAGAGCTTTGAGGGGTCTTAAAGACTGGAAAAGTGCAGTTTAAGTGCAATCCATTTTACATTTTGAAAAGCATTTGCCTATTCTGTTTGTGTATGCAGCCAAAGAACACTGGAATAAACACATTACTACAGGAGCATATTACCAGCTCAACACACAGTCAGCTCTGACTTGGGCCCAGGCTGAAGCCAGCTGCAAGCAGCAGGCGTCTTCCCTGCTGAGCATCACCGATCCCCACCAACAGGCCTACCTCACAGGTAAGCTGACACTAACTTTAATATGTAACAATATCTACTTGATATAAAAAAGTTTACATTAGTTTGACATAGAACACTAACTTAAACGTTGCTTGTTATACATGCCTTAGTACATTTATTTTATAATTATATTTAATCTGAACCATGTTTACACATAAACTGTACAATTATGCATATATAAACACAAAAAGTGAAATAAAGTGAAAACATATTATACAAAGAATTTTAAAACTATTATCAAATAAAAATGTTTACAAGCAATACAAATATACAAAAAGGAAATACAGTGAACATTTAGCATATAAGTATATGTATATATAACTTTAGCGTATAGGAGCTGTGCAGTTTTAAAAGTGATTATGTAATGCAGATGTGCAAAGAAATTAATTGGAGTTGTGACTAGTTGGGACAATAGTCAGACTTGTGATTAATGTTTGAGCCGTACCCATTTTTTTAAGTATCATCTTTTCTTCCTGTGCTTTTCACATTTGCATAATCAAAAACACGATAACTCACAGCACTGCTAGGGCGAGAGGGCGGGGGACAGGGGGACAAGCTTTGGACCGGGCTGATCAAGAACCCAGAGCATGGCTGGCACTGGTCTAACGGGAGGGCTTTCCGTTATCTGAACTGGGACTCTGGTAAGTTTTCTTTTCCACCTCAATACTTTGTGGTGCTAATCGTATGATGCTAAGATTTCTGCATCTCGTATATACTGCAGTTTTGTACTTTATACACAACAGATTGCCAGTCAGTTGTAAAACTGCATAATTTTTGCTTGGATAAATATTTAAACTGAGTATTTTAATCTCTTGAGCAGTTTAGATGAAAGACTTGATAACAGTACATTTATTTATTAAAGAGGCGCTTTCCTTGCTGTTTGCATTTGATTCTGTTCATCTTAGTGTGCACAATATTTTTCATATTTATAAAGTCACACATACATATTCATTTCCAGTGAATTTTAGATCTAAGCTTAGTACCATAAACAATAAAAAAGGTGCCACTTTATCATGATTAATGTCACTGCTGATAAAAAATAATCTGAACAATGATTTTTTTAAGCCTGTGATTTATAATATTGTCATTTGATAGAATTATTTTTTTAAAATAAAGCTTGTTTGATCCAAGACACATGTGAGAACTGACGAGGTTGAGGTAACCATGCTCTTGTTTTAGGACATCCACTTCCTAATCCTGGACACGACTGTGGAATTGTTGATCCTGCTGTGCAGTACTTGTGGCAAAGTTCAACATGCACAAAGAAACTAGGGTACATCTGCTACAGTGAAAGAGCTGCGACTCCTCCTACTACAGGTAAACAAAACAAACAAATACCTTTCAACCGTTTTGTGTGTTAATATAATGTCTTTGGTTAAATGTATATCATTCTATCATTCTTGATCTGCTGCAGAGACAGGATTTTGTTCAAGACCTTGGATTCCCTACAATGGCCACTGTTTCCACCTTAACCGAGCTCAGAAAAAATGGTCTGATGCTCAGCAAGTGTGCCGCAAAGAAGGAGGCGACTTAGTGAGCATCCGCAATGTGGAGGACCAAAGCTTTGTCATCTCTCAACTCGGCTATGGTGAGGAACATACATAATTAGTGAGCTTCAAAAATAAGAGTTTGCAAAGAACAATACACCTGAGAGATCAAAACTTTTCACTGGCACAAAACTTAACATTACCTTCCCACCTAATGGTATTGATTCAAGACAAATAATTTGTTTCCCAACATATAGCTTTGTGTTCTGGTTTGTGATGAGCATCACAGTCTCAGCCATCTAGAGAATTACAACTTGCCAAAATGGCACAGATTTCTGGGCCAATAAGCATCTCTTAATAACAATGAGGAGTTGCACACATACCAAGTAGAGCAGAGCTCCACAATAATGATATTTCATAGGCAGTTGAGTGAAAGGCATCTTTTTTCTCTCCATGTTTGCAGCATCCACTGATGAGCTTTGGATTGGACTGAATGATAAAAAGACAGAGAGGCTGTTTGACTGGATTGACCACTCTGCTGTCACCTTCACCAGCTGGGAGCTTGGTAAACCTGCCGTCTTTTCTGACGCAGAGGACTGTGTTCTCATCAGGGGAGAGGTACAGTAAGGAGCTCCATGTGGATACGTTACACTTGCTAGCCTCTTGAAAAAGTATCATTATTTGTTTTGGTGATGAAGTCATTAAACTAACCTGATTTAAAACAATCCAGCAAATTGTGCAAACTTTACAACCAGCAGCCTATTGTTGACAGTAATGTGTAACGTAGCCTGTATATTAGCACCTGGAATCTATAATAGCATATCGAACACAACTGCTGATCTTAAGGAACATTCTGTTGAAAAGGTTGCAATAAATGACTTCACTGCAGTGCAAACAAAAAAATGTTTGTGTGCCTTTATCTTTCAGAATGGGAACTGGGCTGACCGTATGTGTGATGAGAAACATGGCTACATTTGTATGAAGATGAGTGCCGCAAATCCCTCTGGAGATGAAGTGGAGCAGGATGTAGGCTGCAAAACTGTAAGTGACCCTTTGTTTTTCTTCTTATATAAAACATTTTTGTATATGAGTGGGTACAAAGGTTAAACACTGAATTGTATCATACAACGCCCGGTATTGTACCTCAAAACTGTCTGATTATCAATTTGTTTCTACAAGACGGAACTTCAACATTCAAGTAAAGAAAGTTCAATTAGATCCTTGGTTTTGTTTCTTGAGAAAGGACAATATTCATTTGAAAGTAAATAACATGATGATACTTATTGGTAGGCCCAAGCACAGCTTCACATACTGTTGCTTGGAAGGCCATGTTAAAATGTACACAATATCAGCCATCCGTATATCAAGAACATAGGCTACAATATACTGATGGTGCAAGCAAGCATGCTGAACTCCTCTGTTCATAACCGAATCATTTTAGTAAATAGGACAGTTCTCATTCATAACACTCCGTTCGATGTCTCACTATGGGATGCGCCTCATCGCGGAGCAAACAGAAGCATCAATCTCATTACGCCAATCCTGATTGGCTGGTGATCTTGACGTCAGCGTCAGGGAATTCACCCCCTATAAGTAGCTTGCGCCACGACGCATGCGTCATTCAAACACCTCTTCTCGCTTCAGAGCACATCTCTATAGTAGCCGGACAAGCTTAACGGTCCACAGACTGAACCCAAATATAACCATTTCGGTCGACGGGCGCTCGCCGGCTACTCCTTCTGCTTCGCAAGAAGACGGTAATACTAACGCCAGTTAGTATTAAAATCGACCTCGCCGTTTCTTTCCCCGGAAAGTAAGGTAAGGTTTTGATTTTTCTCAAGCTAGCTACGCACCTGTTGCTAGCTAGCTTCCCCTTACTACCGACACCACGGTAGCGAGGACGCTTTTCTTTTTCTCTCTCACGGAGGAGAAAAGGATTAGAAGTATATTGACACACCAGTCAATATTCTTTGAGAACAAAGGACCCAGACCGTCCCTTTTTCTCCGGATTAAGGACGGGTTGGTAACACTTTTTCTCTCAACGACGTACCTGTTACGAGCGGGTCCTCTCCACGCCACGAGGCAAACAAGATGGACGCCTCTCCCCCTCACACCAGAGGAGTCAGGGACTCGGAGGCTCGGTCATGCGGCTGCGGGTTGAAGATAGCAGGCACAGACTCACACCAGGTCTGCTCGTCCTGCCTCGGGCTGGAACACGCCCAGGAGGCTATCGACAACACCGGCTCGTGCGGGCATTGTGCCCGTTTCACCCGAAAGAGCCTCCACCGACGGCTAGCACACCAAGCTAGCTTGTTGGAACAGGACTCCCTCATGTCCACTGATTCGCCGTTTGGCAATCAAGACACGGGGGCGTCCGCCGCAGAGACTGAGCCCCTCACTGTGTCGGTCTGGGGCTCACTAACAGCGGCAGCTGCGGAACCGGGATCCCACGCCGTGTCAGGCCGGGACCCGGTGGCGGCAAGAGACGCGGGAACGGAGCCCCACGCCTCACCAGGGTCTCGCCCGCAGAGGCTCGGCCTGCTCCGCATACCGCTGATGGAACTGCTGGTGGCAGCCCACCTCCTACCGAGGATGGGCCCGTCACCAAGCAGGAACCCCACGCTGCCAGCGAAGCTGGACCGTTTCCAGTCGACCATGACTACAGAGCCGCAGCGTTGTCCGCCAGGGCTCTGAACGTTTTCCTCACTGCTAACCGCATACCAAGCGGAGCTCTGTGAGGATATGTTGAGTAATCCTGGACCGGCCGTTCTGGATGAGTTGGCCGCGGTCACAGACATTTGTCTCCGTGTCCAACGCTGCGCCGTCCAGGCCACGGGCAAAACAATGGGGATCATGGTGGTGCAGGAAAGAGCTAGATGGCTCAACCTCACCAACCTCACAGACCGGGAAAAGGAGGATGTGCTTGACATGCCCATCGTTCCCGAGGGGATTTGGACGAGGCCCTCCACCTCTGCCTCCCTCTGCCTCCCTCGAAGGGCCCAGCCGCTGCCTTCGCAGCGGCAGCCCTTCGTCCAAGCTGCTCCGAACCCTGCTCGGTTAAAAATACCGAAAACGCAGAGGTCGCAGTCCGCCCGAGTCCCCAGCCCAGGCAGGGGACGAGGGCGAGCTGGCCTAGAAAATCTCCGGTTCCGGCTGCAGCCCAGGCGCAGCCAACCCACAATTTCGGCCAGCAGTCGAGGAAGAAGAAGCGAGCGGCGTGACAGCCCCTCCTTCTCCCCTCTGTGACAGAGCTGGAAGTCTACGGTTCCCCAGCTCTAAATGTGTTCCCGCCGCCTCGAGAGATGCCTCAACACCATCCTCAAGTCCGCATAAACACATGTCACACACTTATTGATTTTTCTGTCATAAAACATTTTCCGCTGACGCATCCAGGCTTCGAGCCAAGGGTGCAGCTCGAAAAAATGAAAAGAAAAACAATAAAAACAATAAACAGTCCGTCAACTGTTCCCCTTCTGAGAGCAGCTACGGCCTCTCTCAAAGGGCGGATAATTGACGGGTCTGTGAAGGCACCACCGTCACGCGCATGCGCAGTGCCGGCTGGACCTGTAAAGGTACCACCGTCACGCGCATGCGCAGTGCCGGCTGGGGTCGTGAAGGCACCACCGTCACGCACATGCGCAGTGCCGGCTGGAGCTGTAAAGGCACCACCGTCACGCGCATGTACAGTGCCGGCTGGGGTCGTGAAGGCACCACCGTCACGCACATGCGCAGTGCCGGCTGGAGCTGTAAAGGCACCACCGTTACGCGCATGCGCAGTGCCGGCTGGGGTCGTGAAGGCACCACCGTCACGCGCATGCGCAGTGCCGGCTGGAGCTGTAAAGGCACCACCGTCACGTGTATGCGCAGTGCCGGCTGGAGCTGTAAAGGCACCACCGTCACGCGCATGCGCAGTGCCGGCTGGGGTTGTGAAGGCACCACCGTCACGCGAATGCGCAGTGCCGGCTGGAGCCGTAAGGGCACCACCGCCACGCGCATGCGCTGTGTCGGTGGGGATTGTCGAAATGGGGCACCACAGTGCTCAGACACTGGAGGGCCCCATAACACAACAAATAGAGACTCAGAGGGGAAGAGACGTGACATCTCAGCTGGTTCTAAGGAGCATACAGCGGGAGATGCTCACGACATCTGCTTGGGTTTCTCAAGACAGTTACACGGAGCTACAGACTCCAAGTCACCGTCACCCCCCCTCGCTTCTCGGGCATTCTGCATTCGCAGGCCCGAGGAGAGTCAGCCCATATTCTGGAGAGAGAGATTCTCTCACTCCTAGAAAAGAGGGCTATATCTATTGTACCCGCCGAGCAGAGTCAGGGCGTCATAAAACATAAAACATTTTCCGCTGACGCATCCAGGCTTCGAGCCAAGGGCGCAGCTCGAAAAAATGAAAAGAAAAACAATAAAAACAATAAACAGTCCGTCAACTGTTCCCCTTCTGAGAGCAGCTACGGCCTCTCTCAAAGGGCGGACAATTGACGGGTCTGTGAAGGCACCACCGTCACGCGCATGCGCAGTGCCGGCTGGACCTGTAAAGGTACCACCGTCACGCGCATGCGCAGTGCCGGCTGGACCTGTAAAGGTACCACCGTCACGCGCATGCGCAGTGCCGGCTGGGGTCGTGAAGGCACCACCGTCACGCACATGTACAGTGCCGGCTGGGGTCGTGAAGGCACCACCGTCACGCACATGCGCAGTGCCGGCTGGAGCTGTAAAGGCACCACCGTTACGCGCATGCGCAGTGCCGGCTGGGGTCGTGAAGGCACCACCGTCACGCGCATGCGCAGTGCCGGCTGGAGCTGTAAAGGCACCACCGTCACGTGCATGCGCAGTGCCGGCTGGAGCTGTAAAGGCACCACCGTCACGCGCATGCGCAGTGCCGGCTGGGGTTGTGAAGGCACCACCGTCACGCGCATGCGCAGTGCCGGCTGGAGCCGTAAGGGCACCACCGCCACGCGCATGCGCTGTGTCGGTGGGGATTGTCGAAATGGGGCACCACAGTGCTCAGACACTGGAGGGCCCCATAACACAACAAATAGAGACTCAGAGGGGAAGAGACGTGACATCTCAGCTGGCTCTAAGGAGCATACAGCGGGAGATGCTCATGACATCTGCTTGGGTTTCTCAAGACAGTTACACGGAGCTACAGACTCCAAGTCACCGTCACCCCCCCTTCGCTTCTCGGGCATTCTGCATTTGCAGGCCTGAGGAGAGTCAGCCCATATTCTGGAGAGAGAGATTCTCTCACTCCTAGAAAAGAGGGCAATATCTATTGTACCCGCCGAGCAGAGTCAGGGCGGCTTCTATTCCAAGTACTTCCTCGTTCCCAAACGGGGAGGGAACGGAATTCGGCCAATACTTGATTTGAGGGCTCTGAACAAATATCTAAAAAGATATAAATTCAGAATGCTCACTCACACATCTCTGCTGCGCCTCGTGCGACAAGACGACTGGTTTACATCAGTCGACCTGAAAGATGCGTACATCCCAGTATATTACCCACACAGGAAATATCTGAGATTCGCATTTCAGGGGATCTGTTATGAATACAGAGTACTCCCCTTCGGTCTGTCTCTCAGTCCAAGGGTGTTTGTACGATGTACGGAAGCCGCGATAGCCCCGTTAAGACAACAGGGTATTCGCCTGGCGACCTACCTGGACGACTGGCTGCTTCTCGCACAGTCGGAGCAGGAGGCTGTTACGCAGACAAATGTCCTCGTAAAGCACCTGCTCAACCTGGGTTTCATAATAAACACAGAGAAGAGCATGTTGTGCCCCGCGCAGACTATACTCTTCCTGGGTTTAGGCCTGAACTCGGTGCCCTTTTCAGCTCGCTTGTCAGTGGAAAGAGTGAAAGCTTTCAGAGCTTGTCTCGCTCTTTTCCAGCTGCGCAAACATGTTCTCTTCAGATCATGCCTGCGATTGCTGGGGCTCATGGCGTCAGCCATCCTGGTCGTACGACTGGGACGCTTACACATGAGGGAGTTTCAGCGCTGGGTGGCCGCCCTAAAACTAAACGAGAGTGATGGTTACTGTGAAATGCGTAATGGCACTGCGCCACTGGCTGCACCCGACTTTTCTAGTACGAGGTGTGCCTATGGGTGCTGTCCTTTCACGGAAAGTGGTCACCACGGACGCATGTCTGACAGGTTGGGGAGGTATTTATGAAGGTCGCCCGGTGAGGGGTCTCTGGAGCAGAGACCTCCAGCGGGCGCACATAAATTACCTGGAGCTTTTAGCGGTGTTTCTCACCCTAAAACGCTTTCTGCCTTTCCTCAGGGGACATCACTTACTCGTGAGGACCGACAATACGACCACAATATCGTTTATTAACCGCCAAGGGGGTTTGCGTTCTCTCCAGTTACACACACTGGCGCGCAAACTGATCCTATGGAGCGGTAGACGTCTCCTCTCTCTGAGAGCGACGCACGTACCGGGAGTGATGAACCTCGGGGCAGATCTACTGTCCAGAGGTATACCAGTTTATGCAGACTGGACTCTACATCCAAGGATTGTGAGCCAGCTGTGGGTGCGTTACGGCAGAGCCGTGGATCTGTTCGCATCGAAAGACAACGCTCAGTGTCAGCTGTTCTTTTCGATGCGCGATCTAAATGCACCGTTAGGCGTGGATGCACTCGCGCACGATTGGCCCCCGGGCCTTCTGTGCGCGTTCCCACCCCTGGCTCTGATACCCCCAACTCTGGCCAGAGTGAGAGAGCAACGCCACACATTTATCCTGATAGCTCCGCACTGGCCAGCTATGTACTGGCTAGCGGAGCTATATCAGCTGCTGTGCGGGCAGCCATGGCAGCTCCCACTGCGCAGGGACATACTGTCCCAAGCGGGGGGGGCAATCTTTCACCCACACCCAGAGCGCTTGGCTCTATGGGCCTGGCCTGTGAGTGGTACAATCTGAATACAGTGTGACATGAAGCTGACCCTGGCAGCTGCCAAGCGAGCCAGTGGCACTCATGCGCTATCTGTACAGTCTTCATGCACTCAGTTCGCCCCAGGGCAAACAGAGTGTGGTTGAAGCCCAACCCTATCTTTATCTTAAGGCGGTTGGTTCAGGTACCACATTTGACATTGAGGCATCCTCCCCGCCACTGTATTCCTCCGGGGAACAGCGGCCGGATTTGCCGTGTCCAGCCCGTACTTTACGCACGTACAGGGACAGATCAAGGGTGCTTCGTCATAATGACCAACCCCTTGTGTCCTGGGCTAACCCTTATAAGGGCAAGCCTGTTACTAAGTAACGGCTCTCCCACTGGTTTGTGGAAGCAATTGCTTTGGGGCTCATACGAGTCAGAGTTCGCAGGCACCCTCGGGTCCGCGAGCTCTTTCGACTCAGGTTCTGGCTGCATCCTGGGCTCTGTCCAGGATGTCTCCCATCCAAGACATTGGTGCAGCGGCGAGCTGGTCCTCGCCGCTCACTTTTGTCCGCCTCTTAACAGGCTGGACGTTCTGCTCCCAGTGTGACTCAAGCAGTGCTGGGCACCTGTTAAGTTCTGGTTGGTTTGGTGATTTTCGAGATAAGCTCGTCTGACAATACGGGAGCTACAATTTCCCATAGTGAGACATCGAACGGAGTGTTATGAATGAGAACTATAGGTTACTTACGTAACCCCAGTTCTCAGAGTAACATGAAGTGAGATGTCTCACCAGACGGCCCTCCTTGCTATGGTGAAGCGAGAAGAGGTGCTTATTTTGAATGACGCATGCGTCGTGGCGCAAGCTACTTATAGGGGGTGAATTCCCTGACGCTGACGTCAAGATCACCAGCCAATCAGGATTGGCGTAATGAGATTGATGCTTCTGTTTGCTCCGCGATGAGGCGCATCCCATAGTGAGACATCTCACTTCATGTTACTCTGAGAACTGGGGTTACGTAAGTAACCTATAGTTACTTTTTGTTCCAAGAGAGAAAACATATTGGAAAGTGAAAGCCAGGAATCAAAGTTTGAAATACTCAATGAATAAGCAACCATGTCAAATCCCTGAAGACATATTGCGGTCATGTTTTTTTTGCCTTGTGTTCTCTGGAAATGTATTTTTTTAAGACAACACATCTTCCCACTTCTTTTCCACTACGTCCCAGGCTTGGAAAAGACACGGCTCCTACTGCTACTTTGTAGGAACAGAGACAAAGACATTTGATGAAGCCAACAATTACTGCAAGACATCAGATTCCTACTTGGCTGATGTTTCAAATGGGTAAAAATACCCAAACAACAATGTTTGTTTCTGTACATGTTCATGAGAATTCCTGCTAAATGTGTAAATGTTTCCAGAGTGGATAATGCCTTCCTCGTCAGCTTGGTTGGGTTGAGACCAGAGAAATACTTCTGGCTGGGCCTCTCAAACCAGAATGACATCGATCAATTTGTGTGGACCAATGCCAACTCAGTGAGGTTTACTCACTGGAATGCTGAAATGCCAGGTATGGTGATATTTTGAAATCCATCTGTAAGATGAAAATTGATTCAAAACTGACATTTGACCATTTCTTCCTCAACAATTCAAGGTCACCAACAGGGGTGTGTTGCAATGACGACAGGGGTTTTTGCTGGCCTCTGGGATGTGCTGCCCTGCACCAATAAGGAGAAATACATCTGTAAACATCTGGCAGAGGGGGCTGTTTTAACCCCTGCACCACCCACTCAAGCCCCTCTCAAGTGTGCCGACGGCTGGACTCCATTCGGAGCCAGACACTTTTGCTATAAGGTAGAATCCAACACAACTTAAAATAAGTGAAACAAGTGCACCTGCATTGCATTGCATCTGATTCACAAAGGAATGCATGATATTTTAAAACGTAATGACTTTTTCTCTTATTTACAAGTAGGCAAATGATTCAAATTAGGACTGTCAACGTTGTTAACATGCGATTAATCTTGAATCCCTCAACATGTAATTAACGAAAATTACTCACAATACCAAATGTGGCCCTTACTTCCTCCAGTAATTCCAGTGCTGATGTTGACAATAAATTGCATTGCAGTGAAAAGCAAAAAAAAAGCAGAGAAATTGACACAAACTACAAGACCATTAGACATCAGTTGACAGTTGAACTTCCTGCCTTGTTTGAAGTTGTTTCCAGAGCCATCAGAAAGCAAAAGGACCTGGTATGATGCAAGAGATTATTGCAGGACTATCGGAGAAGACCTGCTCAGCATCCACAGCGGTCTTGAGCTAACCTTTGTGAAAAGGTACAGTATGACCTGGTCTCATTCAATCATAGCTGTAATAATATGAAAAGTACAACACTGGATTCAAAGTGATACAAATAGTGTTTAGGAGAGCATTTGGTCAGCATCATAAGATAACAAAAAAAGTGTGTTGCTGAAACATTTAACAGGTTGCATATTTAAATCATTAATATGAGTCCGTCCATTATACAGAGTCTCTGGAACAGTCTGGATTGGACTTAGTGCTCCAGACCCAGTCACGGGCTATGTATGGAGCGATGGGTCTCCAGTGAGTTAAACGTCTTCTTCTTCTACAATGGCTGAGTGTATCATATTTAGTTCATTCAACTCAATTAAATTAAAAATAAATCCTTTTGTCATTGTCAATTGTTTATTTCTGTTTTCAGGTGAACTTCCTACACTGGCAGGATGGAGAGCCAAACAATAAAAACAATGTGGAATCTTGTGCTGAATTCAGAACATATCTTAGGTCTGGGTCTTGGAGTGATGTGAACTGTGAGAAGAATAATCAATGGCTGTGTCAGATCCGTACAGGTAATGCATGGTCATTTGGTCACATTGGTTATAAAGAAAAAGTGTGTTCTTTTGAGACATTTGTTGAAAGTAGTTGTTTTTCAGCAAAGTCTTCATTAAATGTGTTGAGGAAAATGCAATTTATCAAACCAGAAGTTCTCACTATCACTTTTATACTAAAAATATATTTTGTTTATCCATGCCCTAACAGGAGCAACTCCAAAGCCGCCTCCAGACCCTGTCATCCCTGGTAAGTGGGTGCATATGTATGTGATATATATGGAAATATGATTATTGAAGTACAATTTAAATTAAAATCCATGTTTTGCTTCATGCTGCTTTTTAATATAGATATAATCAGTCAATTGTCCTTTGCTCTCTTAAAATAAACAGCACACAAAATTGAATTTATATTCTATAATGGTTAGTTTCACTAAAACACTGTGTACATTTGCTTTTTTTCAATTGACAGTGGTACAATGTAACCGTTGTAGTACTTGATACAAATATTAACTCATACATTTGGCAGATTTTTTTGCATGAATGATGAGATACACCTTTAACTCAGATTGCATAAATGATATTAAAATTGTATAGCTCAATTTTTTCTTTTTTGGCATCCCAATTTTTATTTTACATCTAGTTGCAATGTGCGATCATTGGTTTATAGAAACTAGTGTCTTAATCACCCAAATATCAACACATGAAAATGAGTTTATTTGCTCTTGTAAAAGTCATCAGAATTATTATCTATTCTAAAGAAATATTGTTGAAGTTACCATGTGGCAGGTGCTGCATTACCTTTAAATCTAAACTGCCATCAGACTTCATACACAAAAGCAACCAACTAAAAATATTATAGTTATATTAGAGACACATTTCTATCTTTCTGACATGTTTTCAGACTACAAAAAGACCTCAGATGGGTGGCTAGAATGGAATGGAACTCAATATTATATTAACAACAAGAAGATGGCCATGGAAAAAGCTCGTCGCTTCTGCCAACAGAGGCATGGGGACTTAGTAACAATCGACAGCGAAGCTGAAAGGGTATTTTTGTGGAATCAGGTAAGCAGTGACATCTCGACTACATTTAACTAAGAGATTATCAATTTAAGTACAACAACTACGGCATTTACATTTAACTGAAATTTAGGTTCTACTGGTAATTAACCTGTGCCTCGGTCTGTGTGTAGATGTCCAAAAGTGAAAGTTCTCACTGGATAGGCCTGGATGTTGACCTTGATGGAACATATGAGTGAGTATGGATGAAATACCAATAATAAAGAAAATTGTAATATGACTCTTGGGAGTTCCAAGAATAATTACTTGTTTACAAAGGTGTAATTAATACAAACACAAAGGATATATTATCTAAATTGATAGCATTTTTGTGACTTATTGTTGAATTTGGCTTTCATTTTAGACCTAGCAGGTTTAGCAGGACTAAGTTGCTCATTATTTATTGAACCATTTAAAATCATAATCTTATTTTGGTGCATGTATGTAAACTGTTTTTTGCTAATTAGTAAATAAAATGTTTTAATCAAAATAAATATTCAAATACAATTACTATGATTTATTTCCTAATAATTTGATGTGTGTTTAAATGTGAATGACCATAATAGATTGCATTAACAAATTAAAACCTTTACACATTGTAAACATTTACATTGACCACCCTGGGACATCACTGAAAATGTATTTGTTTTTGACAACATTCGGTTTGTTTATGTTACTTAAAGGTGGATGGATAGTTCTCCAGTTTTGTTTCAAAGTTGGAATGAAGGTCAGCCTGATTTCAAGTATCATGATGAGAACTACGCCACCATGGGTTATTCAACTGGTGAGTGAACTGATAGATTCACCTTAACTGACGTTATGCAAATAGGAAATTCAAGCATTGAAATTGTAATCCTTAAGATTTCAGTCTTGGATTATTCAGCAACACGTCATGGTCATAACAGCAAGTGCAGTTTAATAGAGCAAGAATTAGTTGAGAAGCTACTTTGTCAACAGGTGGGCTACAATCTATTGGCAGACACATGTCCATCTAGAGGGGAAGTTTTGGCACCTGATTCATGTTTTTTTGCAAGCCAATTGGGACTAGAATAATTCCTTGTTCTTAAGTAGGTATTTAGAATCTAGCGTAGGAATGGCAAACTGTACCATTACTGATAAAAAAAAACTGTTATACATAGCAGAAGGGAAATTACTCAAATTGATCGCACTAAAGAGCCTGACCATTAATAGCACTTACATTTAGGTTTCATTTTTGAAAATGTCTAAATGATTGACTTTTATTTTATTTTGAAAAAGCACATTGTATTTTGCTCACATTTTCATGTCTCGGATTGGTTCACAGGGTTCTGGCATAATTATAATTGCGGGTTTGAGTACGGCTCCATTTGTAAACGCAGTGGCTCACCACCTGCCAACACAACGGTGGCCCCCACAGTTGCCCCTAAAGGTGGCTGCCCACCCCACTGGAAACAACTTAACCATAAGGTCAGAAATAACTTTAAACGTGTTGTGTTGAATGCTCTGGAATACACGTCAAGTAGAACAGAATTTACCTCTCAGTGCTTGCATTGAGAATAGCCTTTGATGGACAGCATTGTTTTTTTTTTAAATATATAAAAGGTTATACATTTTTATCTGGTGCTCTTTCGAGATTGAGCTGTTTTCTCATGTACAATTGGAATCAATGTGCAACATATGACACTGTTTGAGTGCCAGTATTAAGTGTATTTTAATTGGGGGAAATGATCTTATTATTCCTTACCTCTAGTGTTACAGCATCATTAAAGACCAAAAAGAAACATGGAACGGGGCAAGGAAACAATGCAAAGCTATGGGTGGAAACTTGGCCTCTATATCCTCAAGACACGTGGAAGGTTTGTCTTCACTTTTTTTTCCCCTGGTAATATAGCCGCCGGTCTTTTAAATAATGTTTGTGTTATTTTGTGTTAATGGTCAGGATAATTTATTGCATGAGATGGCAGGTGACAAAGATACAGCATACATACATGTATGCCAAGATTACATTGGACATTTGTGATGGTTGTGAGGCAGGAGGTTATGTAATCACCCTATTACAAAACTTTGTATAGAGTGCCACAGTGACGCGTCCTAAAACCCGGAAGTAAGTTAGCATTTTACCTTCCGGTTCCCTCGACAAAAAAGCAATGCAATTTCTCCATAGGATTTTGGAAAATAGCTTGAAATAAGGTCTGTATTTGACACAAATTGAAGAGACAGATCACGTTTTGTTCTACAACATTATATCCATCAGCAGTGACCCCGCTGGTGAGTTTACGTGTCTGAAAAACGATGGTTGTTAACAAGTGGCTGAATAAGACTACAGAAGTTGTCGAGGCCATTGTACGTCATTACACCGAACACGTAAAACACTTTCGCTAAGTTTGTGTGCCCCTGTTCTGCTTGAAAGCAAGTACCTGCCTCTTGCAAACAAACGCTTCAACTTGTACAACTTTGAATCTGTATTTTTGAATATGGATCTTAAGTTGGCGTGACGTTGAAGCAGCAGCTGCTGTAGTTCGTTTATAGCATAACGTGAGCATTTTGCTTCTGGCGACTAGATTTATGCTTCGAAAATTATAAAAGTAGGCTAGACATGTGGATATTATCCGGCTGAACAAAACGTGAACTGTCTCTTCAATTTGTCTCAACCACAGACCTTATTTCGAGCTATTTTCCTTTTTTGTCGAGGGAACCGGAAGGAGTTTACTTCTGGGTTTTAGGACTGCGGCACTCTGTAGATTAACATTTTAAGAAGTTGTCTCATTTTAAGAAGTGTCTCATGTCTCATGTCTTTACGATGTACAACAAATCTAAAGCTAGCAGCCTCTTGAGGTGCTGTTCACCAAAATAGAGTGGTTTTAACCAGCTCTATACTATTGATAGTGATGTGTGAGGGCCCAGGCACTACATTCTGTTGTTGTCCTCTTTGTAATAGACCTACATGTCAAAAACAGAACAGTGCACATCCTGAAGTACAGCAATTTGAGGTTCATCTACAGGAGTTAATCTTTCATGAAAATATTTGATCTTAAAGTCATTTTGTTACATTTTCAGTGTTTTTGATAACTCAAATGGCTGACACACCTACTACAGACCTTTGGATTGGTTTACGCAAATCATATCGGGAAGCATTTTATTGGACTGATGGGCAACCAAGGCAATATGTGAACTTGGATTTGGAAGTAAGTGGACAGAAACAAAAAGTAGTGTTATAATGCGAGTGTTCCCTTGTGATCAATTGTGTGTGTTTTTATAAAGATTTGACATCTTATTTCTCTATTTTCTGATTTTCCATTTTAGAGGTTCCGGAAAATGTTTTATCGACAACATTGGGTAACGTGTTCAAATTTAATTGAGGCCTAACTGTTTACAATTATTAATTATTGAAACACAATCTTTAGTAGTCCTGAGACAAATACATTTATTACAAAAATAATTAATATCTGGGTTAACATTGCAGGTTCACTGGAATCATCAAAGATTAATGGAAATACTTCGTATATCACGAATGGTAAGATGTTTTTAAAGAGTCCAAAGTTTTTAACCAATACATCCATGTAGATACTGTCAGCAAAGCTCATAGAGCAGGAGAACGTAGCCTATTTGGGCAAAATAGAAAGCACTGAGGAATTATTTGCTTTAATTGAATACATTTACAATCAAAAGTAACTAGACATCCAACTAGTAAGCAAGGAGTCTGTGTCTGTGTGTGGGTATATCCTTTGTATTCTTTTAGAACCAATCATCTGGTCTGCCTAAAACATTGCTGGTGTGTTGCCCAGGACCAAATAACGTGCAGTGTCAAATGTATTAGATATTGGTAATGTGATAATAATTTAATATGAATATAGTTGAACTCAAGAGAACAGCAATTCTTGCGGCAGGGGGGGGTATACAGTGTTAGTGTTGTACCGACAGTCCAACATGTCGCCTGCATCTTATTGACTGCAGTTAACTTTTGCTGCTAACTGGAAGCTGTATGGATCCATTTTAATAATGTTAAATGGATGCTGGTGACATGGAAGCTGGTAATACTAAAATTGATAATGATTATCTTAAAATCACACAGATTCTTAATATACATTTGTTAAATAGATACACCTAAGTGATATCATGGAATGCGCAATAATTTACATTAAAACTGGACTACACTTACATTGTTCACTTCCCTTGATTCAACTCGTGTGTGCCTATAGTCTGGTGGATGCAGAATCTAAGCAGTGTGCATCACTAGTGTGACAGTTATTTAGCCGCACTGTTTTGTTTATTCCCCAATAAGTATCACTGTATTCCCCTGAGGAACTACTTGATACTTAATCATAACATCAACAGCCTTAACGGCAGCTAAATACTTCATAAAAACAATAATCGATGCTCTACTTTATAAGCGCAATGGTTACGACAAAGCACACAACTGATTGTGTTATTTGGCCAATTTCCTGCAGACCGTCGTAGTTGGGACTTGGGCCCCCTAAAAGATGTCCTGCATTACTTTTCATATTTAATTTGAAATGATTGATAGTGGTAGAAGACGTACTCAAAAAACTTTTCTGAAGTATATCTATTATTTATCATAGTAAAAACACTATTTTTATTAAAGAGTGAAAGAAAAGCATTACCATCACAATGTCTGCTACTTATTTTTACTTACAGCTTTTGCCTTTAATATATTGATGAATAATTTTAATGGATAATAATACTTAGTACTTATTACATATTTTATATTTAGCTGAGTGTGAAGTTGCTTGGATGAGCCCATGTGAGAAAGCAGCTAGCAGCAATACCATACTGTAGGCCAAGCATTTAGCCTCTTCTGAACAGGCATGCTTCACTGGTAATGCACTAGACTAGTACACAAAAAGGGTGGAATATTTTCCCTTAAAGTTAAGAACAAAGACCCAATGGCTTTCTAAAGCAGAGCAGCCCCCACACTTAGACAACTGTACTAAGTTGCTCAAATAACTCTGTATTTAATATATATGTTGAAAGATTGACCTGTGGCTACAGTATGTGAAAGAAATGTTCTTAAATTATAAATAAAGGGGAAGCAAATCATTTCTGTCATATCAATTTCCCATGATTGGAACTTAGATTTTAACTAGTGCATGTTTTATTTGCTGCATTTTTGTAAATACAAAAATATTGTAATGCCCCTTTAAATTGTATCCTGACACAGTTTTCTCTTCTCTTAACTAATCACAATGTGTGCTTAACCAGGAAAAATGTGCTGTGATCACAACCAATTCTTCCGTTGGTATTGGGAAATGGATTGGAAAGTCTTGCAATGACACCAATGGATTTGTATGTCTTAAAAGTGTTGGTGAGTTCATTTTCTAGCTTTACTTTAGTACTCAAATATTGGAATATTTTGTTAAGAGTTTTTCTTGTATGTTTCTTAAAGCAGCCATAGCTAAAATGTTTTATGATTAATATGAATTAAATCACGGAAAAAAGAGACAAGGTTGCAATAAACCTACCGATAACTATTTATTGAAACTCCAGCTTCCCTGGATAAACTATTAACTATGGTTAACAAGTATGCCATATCAACTTAAATGGGATGCTGTCTTCACAACATATATCCGCTGTCCACAAATTAAAAAAATCTGTTATTGCAAGTTTAGGGAGGAAAAGCATCTTTACAACTATGGTATGATCTTAATGAAAAACTAAATTTCATTCCATCTTATTTCTCACCTTCAACAGATCCTTCTTTCCCAGACTCCCCTGAACCAACGACTTCCAGTGACTATGTCAAAATATTAAATGACTCTGTAAAGGTTGTGACTCAAAATATGAGCTGGGATGCAGCCAAAAAGCATTGTGAAGATGATGGTGCCAGACTGGTTAGCCTGCGAAACAATTGGTCACAGGCGTATGTTGAGCTGCTGGCTTTGAATCTTAAAGCTCCTCTGTGGATTGGACTGAACAAAAATCAGGTACAGTGCTGAAAGCCTTTAAAAAAAAAAGCAAAAGGCAAAGCAAAGGGATTGTGCTTATTACCACAAACCTCTGTCCAAAAGACAGGTGTGGCTCATGGCTGCTTAATTGCCAGGCATTGGGTTATAACCAAAAGTTAAAGGATCACCAAAGCTATTGCAATTTGTTCTGAGGTCAACATGAAATTACGTAAGAAAAACATTACACAGTTTACTCAAAATCACAAATGTCAACCTCATAGTGGCTACAAAATGTAAGTCAGGGGATCACCAAATACATCAGGAATCACTCTTTAGGGACCATAAATGGCTGTACAAAAGTGTAAGGCAATTCTTTGCTTTCAGACCAATGGGTATTTCAGATATATTGATGGCTGGTTCCTGAAATTTTCTCACTGGGGCAAAAATGAACCAAGCAGGGACAGACCTTGTGTCTACGTGGATGTGGATGGAAAATGGAAGACCACTGACTGCAAGCAAATCATGAACAGTGTTTGCTTGAAGTCTACAGGTACAATAACTAATGTTTATTTGAATTAATGAATGTACAACTCATCCTAAATGCCAACTTGTTTCAACATTAAATGATCAACCTGTAAATGTCAGAATACCTCCCGTGCTTAACCGTTTGGAGTATAATTTAAATATTTAAATCATAAAGACACTAATATTATAAAATAAATGGATTGTACGTGTTTACCATGTGTTTGAGTTATGTGACATTCATACAGGGATTTTTGGATTCACTGGATTTGAGAGTGTGAAAATATTTAATTAGTAGACTCCAGTGTCATTATTGTCCCTCTCAATTACAGATGTGCCACCAACAGAGCCAAGTGTTTTCACAGGCATTTGCCCTGAAGACTCAGATGCATTAAACACAGACGGGAAGAACAACTGGTTACCATTTCACGGATACTGTTACATATTTTTCTCAGAAACAAAAGAGTGGGGAGATGCATCTGCCAGCTGTTTAATACATGGTAAGTCATTTTTGTGGATAGTCTAAGATATGTATGAGACTACAATGGATGTAGCTCTCAGTAACGACTACTCTTTTATTTTGTAAAGGTGGATCACTAGCCAGTATTGAACATCCCTTTGAGCAAGACTTCATTCAAAGCAACGCACACATATTTAAAGACAGCCACAGCTCGTTCTGGATTGGCCTGTTTAAAACTCACAAAGGTAAATGTATACATCCATCAAACAGTTTTAAAATGATACATTTAAAAATTCTTCTTTCTCATAAGCTGTTCACAACGTTTGGTTATTGTTTCATGTAAAGTATTGAGACAGAAAAAGCACCTGGTATAAACAAAGTATTATAAAAATGTGTCTCTAGGGGAGTGGTTGTGGTTAGACAAAACAATCATGGACTACACTTATTGGGATGAAGATCAACCTGATGATGGCAGCCACGGAGAGATTAGTACTTCAGACGGGACATGGAAGACAAGCAATCAGAAGTTTAGAAGACCATACATCTGCAAAACACCCCAAGGTAAAATATGTTTTCCTATTTGGACTCTTTGGTGTGCATTGTATTGATTTTTTTTTATAATGCCAAGATCAGACTCAAATAATGCAATAATAGTGACTGACCGACCACAGCGTTCTGTTTGGGTTATTAGCTACTGGAAATGTGCCAGACACTGACTTCACTGTTCCATCTGACAACAACAAACGTTAACATATGTAATCATGTAATTGCTCGCCCCATCTTGTGCCCTCCCAACTTGTAGAAATAGTGTGATTTTGTAGGTGAGCAGAATATGTGAGTATGCATTGTCCTTATAGTTGTGCACTAAAAAGAGTTTGGTCTTCCCATTATATAGTGTCACAAAGTTATAAAAGTTGATAAACTGTGGTTGTCTTCTATAATAACCCATTTCACAGGAAAACATGCATTTGTTATGGACAACCTTGAATCTGGTTTCAGTCCATCAGTTTTGGTCACTGCTAGGCTGATATTGTGTCAGATTTTGGTGTTCAAAAGTCAAATCTCCTCTTTTTCTCTCTAGTACTGGCACCAACCACACCAACAACACCACCAAATCGTAAGTAACACACCTTTCACTTTACAATTGTACTCAAAAGTGTGATTCAATTATTTTGGCTCATCATCATCTTCTATTTCAATCTTCGCAAACAGCTGATCCCCTTCCACATGGCCACATAGCTGTGGCAGTTGTGGTGAGCATTATTGGGATTGCCACAGGGGCAGTGATTGCCTTCCTCCTCTATAAGAAGTTTGTTCATCGACTATCCATCCCTGTCAACTTAAACACCTTTAACAACCCGCTGTTCTTCAGCAAGGAGAAGTCACAAACTGGTGTGGTTGACACCGAAAAACTGGTAGAGAATGCAGAGGAAGACAGCCCTGAACCTGTTGTATCAGTGTAATTCAAAAAACATTAAAAAGTAGGATCAAATGGTAAACATACCTGACATGTCCAGAGATTTCACAGTGTGTTTGAAATGGGAGAAGTTTCAATAGATTTAGCAATGACTAGCTTAAATGTCCAAAGCCACGAGGACTGTACATGGATTGTAATGATAATTGAATTCATATATTTTGTAATGACTATGAAGAAACATATTAATTGGATGTACTGGGAAGACGTAAAATTGTTAGGATAATAGTGTATTTGAATATTTGCCACGGACAGACTCCTGTGCAATCACGTGCCTATTCAATGCAGTTATTACCAATTCACTTTAGGAAACTAAAACTGCTTTATTCTAAACACTGAAATTAAGAACAATCTATTATTTATTTAAAAAATAATACAAATAGAACAGTAGTTGGAAGACTGGTGATCAACATGTTACTTAAATAAGAATAGCTGGTCCATCTTCTAAAAATGTCTGACAACTTTAAGTGAGCCGTAGCAAAGATGTGGCTAACATTGGGTTAACCCCCTTGGTGAAATCAGCAGGTGGTTAAGCAATGGCAAGGTTATCTTGCCATTGCTCTAGTGGTGATGTAACATCCCCCTCCCTCTGGAACTCTCTCCCCAAACACATTTGTCACTGCACCAATCAGACCATGTTCAAGAATTGCTTTAAATGTGTTATAAATATTGTGTGTTATAACGTTTGTTTTTTGTTATATCTGTAAATGCCTTTGAGTACCATGGAAAGAGATATATAAATACATTGTATTATTATTATTAATAATGAAATATTTGCAGTGGCCAACCAGATATTTTTATTTTACATGTAAGATGTGGCCCTTTGCTTTGTTTATTGAGCAATTTATAAGTAAGAACATCTCACTTTTTACTTTTGACCTCTTACTAGGGCTGTGCAATTAATCGTATTTTAATCGCGATTACGATTATGGCTTGCGACGATTATGAAAACAGCATAATTGACAAAATACGATTATTTTCCTGGGTGCGCTTTCGCCCCTCCCTCAAAGCCCACTCGGCCACGTGGGAGTGACATGTGTTGTGAGTGTTCAGCGCGAGCGAAGATGTCAGAACAAGAGCAGCAACTCGTTAAAAAGAAGGGTCAAACTATTTCCACTATTTGCAAGTACTTTGCCTTTACATTTCACATCGCTAAAGATATGTGCACTGTTAGCAACCAGGGCTTTAAGCAACTTGTCAACACGTTGGACAAGCGTTACGCGATGCCGTCTCGGTATTATTTCAGCAGGTCTGCGCTGCCTGCACTATATGACAAATGCCGTGGGGAAGTTGAGAGAGATGTGGCTTCAGCTGACTACTTTGCTACCACAACAGACCTATGGTCTAGCCCAGGGGTGCCTAACCAGTCGATCGCGAGATGTGTCTAAAAATAGAACAACAATATTCTGTTTTATCGTTAATGTCCTGTAACATAAGCTTCCTGTGCCAGAATAATGCACTTGAACGCATCAAAGCTTTGTGATTGGCCGGCGTCACCCCATGTGTCGGGGCGTGGCTGAGGGTCTTCAGTACAGGTGGCAATATTGTCACCTGCCTGCGCTCATCTCTGAAACCAGACCATGTAAACAGGCTGGTGTTTCTTGCAAAACATCTTTAAGAGATGACATGAGCAGCCCTACCAGCATTTGCCATGGTGGCCTAAACATTTTTATTTGGTCTTAAATTGTAGTTCAACATTTATTTCCTGTTACTTCTGGACCATGACGGTTGGCCAGCCTTCAACGTTTAACTTAGTGGAATAATGAATATGCTTTTACCAATATGTTGGCTATATGTTAAGGAGTTTTCAGTAGGTTGTGACAGTGCACTGCAACATATTTGATTTCATTTATTTTGGTCTAATTTATTTTTATTTATCATATATGTTTAGTATGGTTTTGGAAGTGTGCTCCAACATATTTGTTGATCTTGTTTATTGGTAAAATATTATTTGTTTTAAGTTCAATAAATGGTCAATGAATAATCGTCAAAATAATCGTGATATCAATTATTGACCCAAATAATCGTGATTATGATTTTTGCCATAATCGCACAGCCCTACCTCTTACTCAACATTACTGTTCTCACAGCTCACTTCTCAAATTCACAGATGCCACTTCCTTTTTAACCAAAACATTATTGTCAAAAATGAACACACACTTAAGTATTTCAATAAAGTTTTCCTTGACTAAATTTGTTATATTTCAGTGGTTATATAAACAAGCCTACTGTCTGTGCTGCTCCTGCAAGTCCATATTTAAAAGTCTCCTATTATGCTATTTTTAGGCATGTATTATGGGTCTCAGATATATACAAATATATAAAAAACATGTCTATGATGCGTTTTGCTCAAAATACCAAGCAGATCATGTTTTTTAGACATCCCTCATATCCCTCTGTTTCAACCCTGTTAGAGAAGGGCTGATTCTGGGTCAGTAGCTGCTGGCCCCGCCCCCTTTGGAGCGCAGGCACACAGTGAGCTGCAGAGGGAAGAGAAGGCTGATAACTCAGCAGATTCTCAGCTAAATGCTGCCGTGATTAAATAACATATCATGTTCCAAACCACATCAACGATTATTTCTGAAACAGTATGGAACTCAAATGCTTTTTCTGTTGCGGGTTTAGTTCCTTTTTATATCCTGCTTATTACACATACTCTCTCCAGTACAGCTTAGCTCTGACCTTGCTAATGTAAACAAAGACCATATTATGTCCAAAACACGTGGCACATTGTTTCTGATACAGCAAAGTTTCTGATAGGGCCGTGGGTGTAAAGCCAGCCACATTTCCGATATTACGTCATGCCCGCAGCAAATCTGGATCAGCTCCGTTGTACCCCCGTTTTTAGAGATTTGGGTACGGAGGAAAAGAAAGGGTTTTGTTTTCTGACACTTTGTGGGTTCCCTTACACACCGGGGACACATATTTATGTATAAAAGACATCAAAAAGTGCATTTTGCATGATAGGAGACCTTTAAGGTTGAGGGGCCAATGAGGACGGACTTGCAACGTCGACTCTCTTATGGCTAATCTATTGCCGCATATACAGTACCAGTCAAAAGTTTGGACACACCTTCTCATTCAATGTTTTTTGTTTATTTAAATAGTTTTCTACTTTGTAGATTAATACTGAAGACATCAAAACTATGAAAAGAACACATATGGAATTATCTAATTAACAAAAAAGTGTTAAAAAATCCAGAATATGATTATTTTTGTATATTCTTCAAAGTTGCCCCCTTTTACCTTGATGACAGCATTGCAGACTCTTAGCTTCTCTCAGTCAGCTTCATGAGGTTGTCAACTGGAATGGTTTTCAATTAGCACGTGTGCCTTGTCAAGATTCAATTTGTGGAATTGCTTGTCTTCTTAATGTGTTTGAGACCATCAGTTGTGTTGTGCAGAGGTAGGGTTAGTGCACAGTGGAAAGCCCTATGTGACTACTGTTGTAATCCAAATTATGGCAAGAACGACTCAACTCAACCCCCCCCCCCGGGAAAGGAAGAGCAAGAGTTACCAGCCTCAGAAACGGCAAATTAAAGCACCTCAGATTAGAGCCCACATAAATGATCACAGAGCTCAAGTGGCAGACAATCTCAACATCCACTGTTCAGAGTAGACTGCGTGAATCAGGCCTTCATGGTCGAATCGCTGCAAATCAAATCGAAGTTTATTTATAAAGCACATTTAAAAGCGATTTTTGGTCGGGCCAAAGTGCTGTACATGTAATAAATACTACAATCATATAAAAACACAAATTACAACAGATATATAAAAAACACAGGGAAAAGTCAGGAGTCGTGCTCCGCTCTGACTAAAAGGCCAGGGAGAAGAAGTGTGTTTTAAGAGTAGATTTAAAAACCCCTAGGGTCTGGGCCGACCTCACACGGAGGGGCAGAGTGTTCCAGAGCCTAGGGCCAGCTGCTGTGAAGGCTCGGTGCCCTCAGGTTTTTAGCCTGGCCTTGGGCACTATCAGCAGCAGCTGGTCAGCAGACCTTAAAGCTCTGGCTGGGGTGTAGCGCTGGAGGAGTTCAGCTATATAGGCCGGAGTCAGCCCATTTAGTGCTTTAAAAACAAATAAAAGGAGTTTAAAATAAATTCTGAACCGAATTGGAAGCCAGTGCAATGAGGCCAGAATTGGGGTGATGTGGTCACGCTTTTGTGGCCAGTGAGAAGACGTGCAGCTGCGTTCTGCACTAGCTGCAGGCATTTAATTGATGCCTGGTCCATACCCACGTACAGAGCGTTGCAGTAGTCCAACCTCGAAGTAACAAAGGCGTTAATAACCCTTTCCAGGTCTTTAAAAGATAAAAACGACTTGGTCTTGGCCAATAGTCGTATTTAAAAAAAAAGCAGGTTTTGACTACGCTGCTGACCTGCTTATCGAATTTAAAAGCGCTATTGAAGGTCACTCCAAGGTTCGTGACAGAGGGGAGGATATTATTTTTGAGGGAGCCCAGAATATCAACCTGGGAGGCTGGAGGTTGGGGTCCAAAAAAGATGACCTTGGTCTTACTCTAAGGGTGAGGAAGTAGAAAAAGGATGGGGCCCAGAATCGAGCCTTGGGGAACCCCACAGGTAAGAGGGGCTTTGGCAGAGGAGAAGGCACCTAGCTGCACAGAGAAGCTACAGAGAAGCTACGGTCTGTCAGGTAGGACCTGAACCATGCAAGGGCAGAGCCTGTGATGCCAGCGGACTGTTCAAGCCGTGACAACAGGATGCTATGGTCCACAGTGTCGAAGGCAGCTGTCAGGTCTAACAGCACCAGGACAGCTGGGCTACCTGAGTCGGCGGCTAGGAGCAGATCATTAAAAGCTCTTAAAAGGGCTGTTTCAGTACTATGCATGGGTTTGAAGCCAGACTGAAACTTTTCATGGATGCCATGCATGGTTAAAAAAGACTGCAGCTGGGCGTAGACTACTCGCTCCAGGGCTTTAGATAAAAAAGGTAGCTGGGAGATGGGCCTAAAATTTGCGAGAATGGAAGGGTCAAGATTTTTCTTTTTAAGTAGTGGCTTGACCACGGCATGTTTGAAGGCAGCTGGGACACATCCTGAGCTAAGAGAGGTATTTCTAAGTAATAAAATACTTGCTCCAACTGACTCGAAAACATCTCTGAGAAGGCGAGAGGGAATGCTGTCTGAGGTGCAGTTTGTCGGCCGCAGGTGCATGACTACATCCGAGAGAGAGGAGAGGGATACAGGCTCAAAGTGGTCAAGGACAGCAGGGCACAGAAAAGGAGCAGGATCTGGGGTAGCACTAGTGTGGGCTAGCCTAAGAGCAGATACTTTTTCAATAAAAAATGTAAGAAACTTATCACAG